TAGTAGCAGAGTTTATTGATGAGACGTATACTATGGGTGTTGACCCGGGATTACTTTGAGTAGAGACTGATGAAGTTGATCGTTGAAGACTATCAACTTTGTTGAGTGAATATTGATTGAATGCTTCTCTAGGCAAGAGATCTTAGTTTTATATAAGTTTTAATTGGGTCAATATAGTCGCGGACCTCGCGTGATATGTGTATCTAATTTATGTAAATTGTTTAACTTTTGTCAGCACTTTTGACTGATGTCCAAATTATATTATTGATAATTGACCAAATGTGTATGTAATCTAATTAACTACGTGTGTGTATTTAATAACAAATAAATTCATTCGGTCTACTGGGTGATAAAATTATACTGTCCAATTTTGGATATGAATTCTGAAGATTTGATATTGGACACTTTGGTTAGGGTCCAGGTTTGGCATCAACAATAGGAAGGATGCATTGGTTGAACACTTAGCTTCTCAAGTATTGGGGTATTTTGCGGTTTTTAAGTATTCAACTAAGTTTTCCAAATCCTGTCCATGCTAGTCTTGCTCTTCTAGTAATTTCCGCACTTTGATTCTCTTTGTCAAGTTTCAGGATTTGGCCTAAGTAGATATATTCCTGGACCTGTTCTATTTCACTGCCTTTTATAGTTATATGTCTGGGGTCATCGGTGTTTGTCATTATTTTTGTTTTTTTCATATTTATTTTTAGGCCGACGTATAGGGAGCTGCCTGCTAGTTCCCCCATCATAATTTGCAGTTCCTCGAATGTGCTCGCTAGAATGACTATGTCGTCAGCCAATCTGAGGTGGTTTAACTTGTTGCCATTAACGTTAGTGCCATAGGTTGACCAATTTGTAGTTTTGAAGACGTCTTCTAGGGCTAGGTTGAAAAGCTTTGGCGATACTACGTCTCCTTGTCTCACTCCTCTCTTAATGGGGATGCGATTTGTATTTTCTTCTAGTTGTACTATCATAGTTGCATTTTCATACATATTATGTATTAGTTGCCTATATCTCGAATCTATTCTACAATTATTATTAGCTTGTTCTATGGCCTACATCTCGATACTATCAAACGCCTTTTCATAGTCGACGAAGGCAAGAAATACGGGTAGTTGGTATTCATTTGCCTTCTCTATTAATGTTCTTATTGTCAGCAGATGGTCTGATGTACTATATCCTTTGCGGAAGCCAGCCTGTTCAACAGGTTGGTAATTGTCCATTTTGTAGGTCAACCGGTTGTTAATAATTCTCATAAATAGTTTGTATACTTACTAAGCAACGATATAGGTCTATAATTATGTAGATCACATTTGTCCCTTTTTTGTGTAAGAGTATTACTAGACTCTTGTTCCAGTCTTTAGGGATCTTGCTATTATGGAGACATCTAGTAAATAGCTCTGTTATTACAGGAATTGTTAATGTCTTGCTTGTTTTCAAGAGCTTGGCAATTATACCGTCGTGTCCTGGAGCTTTATTATTTTTTAGCTCTTTTAAAGCTCTTTCTATTTTGAATCCCTTTATATTTAGTAGAACTTCTGATCCCACGTTTTTTATTTTTCTTTTGACGTTCTCCTTTGTTGTTTCATTAGGCTGGTTTTGCGGGCTGTACCAGGATGTGTAGAAGTCTTCGACAATATTTGTTATTTTATATTTGTCCTTCTCCTCCTTATTGTTGGCGTCTTTAATTTTGATGATTTTCTGAACTCCCAGTAAGGGTCTTAGACATTTTAAGCCTCTGTTGTTTTAATAATTCGCTCTATTAAGTTCTCGTTCCATTTTTGTATATCGCGGTTTAGTTCTTTTCTAATTCTTTTATTAAGTTCTCTGTATTCTTAAGTATAGCGTTTGTTTTGCGCTAGTAGTTGTCTTCTTTTCGTCATTAGGCATTTAGTTTCTTTGCTTATTTTGTCTTCTTTAGTATTTGTTTTTTTTGCGACCTGTAGTCCGGCTGCGAGAAAGTTTTTTATCATCATTTCTGTAAATACCATTTTTTTTGCTTAACGTGTTTTTTATTTATTATGAAAATACCGGTGGGTTTTTGAATATTTAACTGACTGCTCCATCATACAGGTTTTAGTTCGATTAAATTTACATTCATTTAGAGCTAATTTATTTACCCACCACATGTACCAATACCCTCATTTAAGTATTTGACGTCTAAAGCAAAGCACGATTGATCTAATTAAAAAATGTAAGTACATTTTCTTTAAATAATCAGTATTCTTTTGTGTATTCTATAATGATATCTTAAATGTTATACAAAGATTTATGGTTTCAATAAACGACGTATACTCCAAGAAAATAAGCCAAATTTAACCGTGGTCAAGATTTCTCAATGGTCATGTATGTATAATTTTTTCATTCATCATCCCCATCATCAACCTGTATGCGTCCACTTCTTCTTCTCATGGCGCAGTCTTCTTTCGAAGGTTGGCGATCCAAATGGCAATTATAGTTTTGGAAACTGCTGCGCGAAATATTTCTGCAGAGCGGTCAAACTATCTCCATCATTCATATCAATTTATATCTTTTGCCTCTCAGCACATAACCCAAGTATTGCATTGTTTTCTCTTTGATACGAAGTACCTCAACATTAGTAACTCTTTGTAGCCATAGACTTCTCAACATCCGTCTGTATATATACATCTCAAATGCATCTATTATTTTTTCTATTTCAGAGTCCATTGTCCAACTTTCACAGCCGTACAGTAAGACAGAAAAAACGTAACATCTAATCATTCGGATTCTAAGCTGCAGAATAAGGTCTGATCTTGAAAAAAATGTTTTCATGTTCATGAATGTTTTCCTTGCTTGTTCGATTCTTGATAGGATTTCTTTTTTTTTTTTGATTACACTGACTTTTGATATTTACTTCCAAATATTTTATGGAATTTACCTGTTCTATTATTAAAAAAAAAGAGGTTAGTCTTCGTAAATGGGTATATTTATTTAAAAAACCCTTAAAAGGGCTACATAAAAAAACAAACGTTTTTGGACTAAACAGTCCATCATCAGGTTTAAAATTGCCTAAAATAAGTATAAACCATTTAGTTAAAGCAAACGTGGTTATTTTTAAATTTTGACTAGGGTTAAAAAGCAAAAATGGTTATACTTACTAGGTTAAAATGCTTGAGCCACCAAAATACTAGGGTAAAAACCCTTTAAATTACATGTAGTTAAACAAACTACATATATATATATATATATATATATATATATATAATATAAAATTTAATATTTCTTGGGTTGGGTTCAATAAAGATATGTTACATGTGGAACTAGATTTTATTTTCCATTGCAATTAATCAACGTTTCGGCAGGAAACCCTTGTTAAATAAAATCTAGTTCCACATTTAACATATCTTTATTGAACCCAACCCAAGAAATATTAATTTTATATTAAATATAATACGGTTCAAGAAACTCAAAACTACAATATATATATATATATATATATATATATATATATATATATATATAGATATATTTGATTATGCTAGAGTACGGATGGTCTAATTAATATTCTGTCAATGCTTTTAACATTTGCTACTGCCTTATGGTATCAAATGCTTTCTCGTAGTCCACGAATGTCAGTGTCGTTAGTGCTAAAACCCGATCTAAATCCAGCTTATTCTTTAAGTTGATAGAAGTCTAACTCAGTGTCCAGTATTGTTTATTTTAGTTTTTCCATTAAAATCGCATTTTTCAAACTATCGTTAATAATTGAAATACAACGTATGTTTTCTTACTATAAGTATATTATATTAACTGAAAAACTAGTCAAATACTTAGTTATTGCGGAGTACTAAGAAATACTTTCCCAGGACTAATAAGTAATATTATAATAAATAAGTACCAAGTACTCTGTAATACGTCAAGCAATATTTGTTACGTCATTTTCCCAGTAACGTATCTCAGCATGTTTCCACTTATTGTGATAGATTCATTTTTGTTTTGTCGTACCAGTTATAATTGTGTATTTAAATGTATTGGATTTTCCTTTCATAAACATTATTTTCGCAACAATTTTTATGTTAGCTATTATTCAATAATTTCAAACCAGAGTTGATTTTAATATGAATATTTAACCTTGAATTTACGCTAAAAATAAGTGGTGGATAACAAAATAAATAGTAACAATAAAAATAAATTTATTTAGTCACACATGTGTGAAGTGTTTTAACTTCTCTCTCTCTCTATATATATATATATATATATATATATATATATATATATATATATATATATATATATATATATATATATATATATATATATATATGTTTTATTTTGCTTCCTCAGATATAAAAGGGTGTCTTCCAGCATGAAAACTGCCGGTTTGCGCTCAACCGTTTTGCGCCTTTACCTGAAATCGGCCGGTTTGCGCTCTTAGACTTTCTTAATGGAGATGTATAGCTAATTATTTTCTTATATGGACCGTTTTGCGCTCTCTTGTAATCGACGTTAAATTTTATTCTACCATAACGATTAGGTAATGGTTAGGCTAGTAAAATTAGTTTAAAAAAATCATAAAACTATAAAAAAAAAATAAACCATCTTCCCTTCACACTTTCATTAGGGCTTAGGACTGTCATAGTTTATACATACTACATTGGCGTGTTTAGAAGATGTTTTAATTTATTTTTTTATTTTTTCGATTTTTTTAATTTGTTCATTTTTTTGTTTTTTTTTTCACTTTTTATACAGTAAAATACAAAAAATTCTTGGGAATAAAAAACTGTCCATTTATTTCAGCTTCTGGGTATATGCCAATGTCCTTAAACACAACCTTAAGTCCCTTGTATCTTTATATTTCTGTAAAGTTTTGGACATTCTTTCATCAAGATTAATATATGTTTTCTTGTGCCGCTTTCCTTCTAGATTGAAAGTAAATCGATAATAGAGGTGATCACAATATACTGATTCTTTAACCAGGCACTTCACTAATTGGAATACATTGTGATGTGGTCTTATTAATGTATTCAGACGATGATTCCAACCTTCTAAAACGTTATTACTGCCATGTCTTTGGTCATGGCAATTTCACATATCTTTGGTAATGTAAGTATTTTCTAACCATTGTTTGACAAAGTAGTCATAAAACTGTTCCATTTTTTTTAGAAATAGGAGAGGTTTCTTGAAATCATAACCAGCTAACATCGATATCTTCTATGGGTAAATACGCTAACGCAGCTCACATTCTTATGTGCAAACGTATCTTTTCGTTGTCAGTGTATTCAGAAACAAGTCCAACATTTTTCCATATACATTGCTTGAAATGAAAATTACAACCAGAAATTTTTGCTTCGGGAAAATTATTTTCTAAGGCACCAATCACTGCCTGTTCAAAATCCAGTTTAATTAAAGACGGTTTCCAATTTGGTAGTTTCTCTTTCATTGATGCAAATAACATATCTTATGTCTCTTTGGTTTTGTTAGAAAGTAACGCAAATATCAATGGAATTGTATTTGTCTCCTCTGACGACTACCAATATCGATATGAACGGTATATATTTAACTAAATTACTTACTGCAGCTTTTGAATGTTCCATCCATAAATACAGTGTCCTTACTGTTAACCTTAAGGAAAAAAGATGTTTCCGTTTATTTGACACGTTAGTTTGTTTATTGCAGGTTCACCAGACAATTATTGTTAAATGAAATTAAAATTATATTGCAAGAGAGCGCAAATCGGCCGATTAAGGAAACTATAGTAGTTGGATATTTTTATTATGAAAATTGCAAAGCGCAAACCGGTCGATTTCAGGTAAGGGCGCAAAACGGTTGAGCGCAAACCGGCAGTTTTCATGCTGGGAGACACCCTTTTATATCTGAGGAAGCAAAATAAAACTCGGATGCTTCGTTAGATGTGCTTTTTAATTAAAGGTCTAAGCTTTACTTAGAGTTTACTAAGCTTTTCTTAGTTTGTAGTTTACTCTATCAGAGTAAACTACAAACAAACAAGAGAACAAACAATGAACTAGTGGAAACTAAGTATAAAAAATAATAAAACACTTACCCAAATTATAGCAAACAACTCAGTTGACTTGGGTAGAAAACATAGAAAGTGTTATCTACGTATATATTTAACATAGTTTTAGATACATGATGAGCAGTATCCATAGTTCACAATATATATTTATTTAATTAATAAGGATCTATTTACATAAAATCTAACCACAAACAATTGAAAACTTAATAAAAGTTATTGCAGACTCAAACCACACTCTACAAGTCTTAGTATTCACGTCAATAGCAAAGGCCACAGAGTCCTCTATAATGACACATTCATCTTAGATGCATCTAATAGAGATATTCAGCGAAAAATGCTTGATATGTGTTAAATTTATAATACGAAAAACGCCATCAATCACAAGAAGGATGTGGATAATTTAAGTTCCATCTACACCTTCGTGCTTAAACAAAATATTTCAGGAATTAAAAAATTGTCGCCCAGACATATGAGTGATTTTTAACCATTTTAATTTGAAATAAAAAAAAACCTAGGGTGGTGTTTAATTTTGAAAAAAGATTTACACAGGATTTTTGTCCATTTTTTTCTTTACACTACAATGAACATCTTGAAATTTTTTTTCCAACTTTTTGCTGCAGTCACACACAAATAAGTATTTTATCTTATTAAGTAAATTATACAATATAAATCTAATAAAATATAACGATATCGTTGACAAGAGTACACTTTGGCTTTTAATATTTAGCTGCTAACACGATGAACCATCTTTTTGACATGTATATGATATAGACAGCTGTTAGCATCCCAAAAATAAGCACGTTGACTTGTTTGGAAAAAACAAAACTAAGTTCGAATGGGTTAGAGTCAATGAAAGGGACTATTTTTTTAATTACTCTAGCTTTCAATTGTCGTTAGAATTCGTCTTAAAATTATGTCTCCTTGTCAGTAGCGTTTCTAGACACCCTGTATATATACAGATGGTACTGTAAGTTTTAAAATAAAAAAACGCAGACAGGTCGGTTTTTAAATTTAAGTACTTTTGTTTTTGTTCTAAATACCCGCAACCATGATGACGTCATCCCTTCTCTCGCCATTCCTTCTATCCATTCCAATATAAAGAAACTTAAATTTAAAAATTTGTTTCACTATCTACGTTTTTTCTGTTTTGTACTATATCTTATGTATACTTTACATTGCGTTACATTATTTAAATTAAGGAAAAATATTCGTTGGTTTCATTCAATTTCATTAAAATGCAAATAGTAGTAATAACCAAATTTATATCCTGCAACTTTTTGGTACATGTGGGCAACTTAAAAATAAAACAGGACTTTTTCCTTATGCATTGCTTTAAACTTATCTCTAAATATGTACAAAAGGTGAATTTTACCTAAAAATTTAAACCTAATTTTTTTATTTTTAGACAACAGATCACGATGAAGCTGGCCATCATATTAGCACTCGCTATATCTACAACACTAGTAGCACCAATAGACGTCCAAAGTACAATTGAACAAATAGCAATTGGAAATCAACAATTTACGTCAAATGTGTACAAAGAAATTCTAAAAACTAATAATGGTAGTATTATCTTTAGTCCCTTTTCTGTTGAAACCGTATTAGCACTAACCTCTGAAGGAGCCAAAGGTGACACTAGAACCGAGCTAATAGCTGCACTTCACCTTCCAGAATCACAAGAAACTATCCAAGAAGGATTTAAGGAACTTTTATTACAACTTAAAATCAACAATAAGTACGCAGTATTAGCTTCAGCTAATAAAATATATGTAGCCAACGGTACCAACTTAGAAGATGATTTTAAAAAAACCGCTGAAAGTGCTTACGCATCAGGAATTGAACAAATAGACTTCTCAAACAGTACAAAAGCCGCAAACATAATTAATGAGTGGGTGGAAAGCCAAACAAACCAAAAAATGAAAAATCTCATTAAACGTGAGTATATTAACAGTGATACTGTGATAACTTTAATCAATGCATTATATCTAAGCGCTGAATGGTATACTGATTTTCCATATTATAACACTAGAACAGATAAATTCTACAAAACAGATTTCACACAAATAGATCACCCAACAATGGCAGTATCTGAAATATTTAAACATTATGAGAATAAAGAACTCGACACACAATTTTTGGAAATTCCGTTCATAAGTAATGATCTTGTTTTTTGTATTGCTTTACCTAATAAAAAGGATGGCATAGCTGCTTTAGAAAATAACATTGAAAAAGTATTTGAACCTCAGCCATATACTGATATGCCTGTACATTTGAGATTACCAAAGTTTACTGTTGAAACTGAGTTGAATTTGAAAACCATTCTTCAATCTTTGGGCATTCAAAAGATCTTTAACTTTAACGCTGATCTTACTGGATTGTCAAATAATGCCAAAGACTTACGTGTTTCGGAGGTAATTCAAAAAGCTTTCATTCAAGTTGCTGAAAGTGGAGTCGAAGCAGCTGCTGCAACTGCTGTTATTTATAAAACTTTGAGTTCACATTTCTTTCCTCGAGAGACAATTCAGTTCGTCGCCGATCATCCTTTTGTGTACTTTATTAAATATAATAACGTTATATTGTTTGCTGGAAAATACAGTCCTTAGGATGCTCGTCATAACACTAGACTTTTATGTATAAATCCTATAATTAATTTATAAATTTTTTGTGTTAATTATGTTGTAAAATTTATATTGACTTAATAAATATAATAAGCTCATACTTTCTTTTATAATATGTTTATCTACTTAAGTATCAAGAAAAATTGGAACTATTGCTATGAGACGCAGTGGGAAGGGATTATTAACTCATTAGGTACCAGTCATTAAAGGGCTACATTAAGTCGTGTTTTTATAGTGTGTAATTAGTTTTTCATCAATTTTATTTACTTTTGTTCTCCATTTTGTATACCAATCACTGAGTATGTTCAGATGATGTTGCAGGTTTTGTGAGGCTTGTATGGGATCTTCATTTACGGCTAGTATTGCTACGTCGTCAGCAAAGGAAGCGACTGTAGTATTATTGGTCTCTAGTATATCGGCTGTGTAGAGTGAGAAAAGCAGTGGCCCTAGAACACTACCCTGCGGGACTCCAGAGTTGATAGGACAGAGGTTGGATTGTTGGTCTTTGAATTTAACAGAGAAATATCTATTTGATATGTAGGATTTAAGTAGGAGGATATAGTTACTGGATAGTGCTATTTTTACTTTGTAAAGCAGACCTCTATGCCAAACTTTGTCAAACGCTTGTGAGATGTCTATAAATACAGCGTTGCAGTATTTCTTTTCTTCAAGACTTTTTGATATTTCATTTATCATTCGATGAACTTGTTGGGTAGTGGAGTGATTTATCCGAAAACCAAACTGATGTTTTGGAAGTAACGTTAGGAATTCATGATCTGCGTATATCCTTTGTAGTAGCAATCTTTCAAAAACTTTGCTTACGGTTGGGAGTAGGCTGATGGGTCGAAAAGATGTTACTTCATTGGGCTCTTTTCCTGGCCTGAGGATCATAATGACTTCAGCAAATTTCCATATTTTTGTAAAGTATGATAAGCTTAGCATGCGGTTAAATATAACTGTTAGCAAAGTTGTTAGCAAAATAAAAAAAACATTAGTAATATATTATTATAATTAAGAAATAAACATTAAAAAATACAATTTTAAAAGAACAAAAGCATAAAGTGTGTATTGATTTATTTCTTCATCATCACTTACAAGATCGTGATGAGTATTTTGAGTTGTAGCATTCTTATGTAAGCCTTAATAAAAACTGTGAAATAAGGTACGAACTAGGGGAAGTAGCAAGATAATGTCTGCTTTTTTTCTCTGCAAATAGGGATTGGTTGATTAAGTATCATTGGAACTTTCTAAGGTAGTTGACACCCTCTTCTGCTGAAATCAATATTCTTAAAAGGCTGTTCTTTAAATTGTTTAAATTCTTAAATATTCTTTTCTCTATTAAGGTTGTCTTTGAATTGAACGATTGCCAAGCCTTATGTATATCGAATTCTCCGGCCATCGGAATTGACAACCATCAGTGTCTTTATTTCTTGGTACCATGCAATCTTTAAGTAAAGATGAGAAATCAAAGAAGTCTGTTTGTGACATTTTCATAACAATAAATTTAGAGCTGCTTGAATGTAAAAGGTGCATCCAGTAATAAGGGTGAAATATTTGAATGTCAGTTTTCTTGTTTTTTTTTTCTCTTAAATATACTGTAATCAGTATCTCTTCGAAGTGAGTGCACTATAAAGTACCATAAACTTATGATCTATTAGCTTAATATTAATGAGGATCTATGCAAGGCCCAAGCAAACATGGCAAGTACATGAGAGTTATGGTTTTGTCCCCACGTGTGTGCATTACAACATACTACTCAAAAGCCTTTGACAAATCGCTATGCGATTTGCCGCGTTCAAGCCCCTGAATCACCTCACTTACAACATTAAACACCGCGTTCGTAGTAGAACGAGTACTTCTGAATCTATATTGTGAGTTGTTAAAGTAATTATTTGACTCAAAATAGGAATAAAATTCTTATTTAATAACCTTTTCCATCACTTTCCCAAAATTAATTGTCAGTGTTTGTGGAATCACCTTTTTTGTAGATAGGTAGTACTTTTGAGTATTTTAGTAATTCCGGAAATATTCCTGTTAAAACTATTTAGTAAGTTTCTTTTAAAATTTTGCTATCAATGTCGTGGACATCCCTATAATTAGAATTACTAAGAGACTTTATTATTTGAGAGACTTCTTCTTCCACAACTGGACAAAAAGGGACTTGCTCGATTTCTTGACTTGCAATTTCTGTAATTGAAGGGGACATTGACATTACTAGTGAGAAGAGATGTATTTATATTCTCTGCAATTGTAGTAAAAAATTGATTTATTTCATCTTGAGATAGATCAGATTGTACCAAACTTAATCTTTGTATTGTTTTTTTTTTTTTAATTTACTATTTTTCAGCAGAAAGCAAAAAGAGGAACAGCAACGCTGACTCAGATCATTACATGGTGGGCATCAAAATTAAGCAACTGATATCAGAAAACAAAAACAAAATAAAAAAAGAAATGTATACATAACCCAATTCGATTAGCAACAAAGAAAGAGCAAGAAATATACAAGGAAACAATGGAAAGAGAACTAAAAAAGATACAAATAAAAGAGCAAACTGAGAACAAATGGGAAAACATAAAGCAAATAATGAACAAAGCAGCAAAAGAATGTAATAAAGAAGAGAGTAAAAAGATGAAAGACTGGTTCGACATAGAGTGCCAAAAAGAAACAGAACTAAGAAAAGCATTAAGGATGGAAATGATCACGAAAGAAACAATAGAGACAAAGAATATATATAGGGAGCAAAGACAAAAAGTAAAGAGGCTGATAAGAGAAAAGAAGAGAAAACACATAGAAAATAAGCTAAAAGAAATAGAAGAGAATTACAGAAATAAAAAAATAAAAAACCTATATCAAGGTGCTAGAAATGAAAAAAAAGGTTTCCAACAAAAATCCATATTCGTTAAAAACAAAGCAGGAAATAATATAAGCGGGGAAGCAGAAATAGTCAAAAGATGGAAAGAGTATTTTGATGAATTACTAAATGGCAATAATAAGTCAAACCAAAGAAATGGAAGCAGAAGCAAGAATCGAACACTTGGAAAACATAGAAGATAATTCACCCAGCAAAGAACAAATCGAGGAAATCATAAAAAATCTGAAAAACAACAAATCCCCTGGAAGCGATAACATAACAGCAGAGATGATGAAATATAGTGGAAAACTGCTAAATAATTGGATATACAAGATCATAAAAGAGATATGGATAAAAGAACAAATACCAGAAGATTGGAAGGAAGCCATTATTTGCCCATTACACAAAAAATGAGACAAAACAGAATGCAGTAATTAGAGAGGAGTAGCGTTACTAAATACCGTATATAAAATCATATCAAAATCCATAAAAGATAAGCTAGAAAAAGAAGCTGAAAATATAATAGGCGAATATCAGTGTGGATCAGTCCCTTGAGGAACTGGGAGTTAGCAGAAAGTTGCGTAACATGATACATCTTACTTTAGAGAATACAGAAAACAGAGTCAAAGTAAACAATCATGCATCGGACAAATTTATAGTAAACGAAGGATTAAGGCAGGGCGATCCTTTGTCATCATTACTCTACAATTTATGCCTAGAAAAAATAATGCGAGAAGCGAGAATCAATAAAGAAGGACTCCTATATCATAAAAGACACCAAGTTTTGGCATTTGCGGATGATATAGTGTTGCTGGCAAGAGGAAAAAAAGAGTTACAGAAGATAGTACAGAGAATAAAAAAAGCAGCAAAGAAAATGGGACTTTACATAAATGAAACTAAAACAAAATGTATGCAGTGGACAGATGATCAGTTTGGGGATGGATAAAAGTTTAAAGTAGAAGTAGAAGAAAGATCATCATACGAATTCGAAATGGTAGAAAGATTTACATACCTAGGTACAATAGTATCACGTAAACCTAACATTAAAGAAGAAATACAAGCTAGAATAATTGCAGGCAATAGAAGTGTACATGCTCTTAGTGAAATGTTAAAAAGCAAGTTTTTATCAAGAAAGGCAAAAACACAGTTATACAAAACAACTATACAACCAATAGCAACATACTGCAGGGAGACGTGGACAATGACAAAAAAAAAACAAAATTTACTGGAGATATGGGAGAGAAAAATCTTGAGGAAGATATATGGAGGAATAATAAGGGACGGTTTATGGATAAGAAGATTAAATGATGAGTTAAAGAAGTTATATAATCAACCTAACATAATAGGAGTCATAAAGGCACAGAGACTAAGATGGCGAGGTCACCTAGAAAGTATGCCGAACACGAGGATTCCAAAAAGGGTACTAAACTACACTATAACTTCAAAAAAGAGAAAAGGAAGGCCAAAAAATAGATGGAATCAGGAGGCAGAAAAAGATATGGAAGAAATTGGACTAGACGGCCGGACAAGAAAAATAAATAACAAGAAGGAATGGAGAAAAGTCACATATCGAGCCAGAGCCAAAGCCGTAATTGTCGATTATATTTAAATTTTTGTTTTTTATATTTTTATATACTTTAAACAATTAGGGATCCTTAGTGGCATCTGTAATGTGTTTAATAAGAGAAAGATTAGATCTGTAATTCATTATTAAACCATTGCAGGGTGTTTTTTAGCAGTTTGTCGTACTTTTTTTAGTGGAAAATGCTTTAATATTAAGTTGTTATAAATTTCGGTAAGAAAGGCTGTCAAAAAATTAGGATCATTATTAATACCATATAAAAAGTCCATCTTTGTACTAGCTAGTGCACGTTTAAGCTTCAATAAACCAGAAGAAGTAATAAACCGTTGAAATGTTTAAATGGTGTCAACAACTTTATGAAACACCGACCAGTATAACAAAGATACTCCATAACCTAAATAACAACAACGTAACCAAAGTTAGAGCAGGAGACGAATTCACTGAAAATATTCCAACACCGGGAGGAATTAGACAAGGCGACAGTTTAAGCCCCTTCTTATTTAATCTTCTTATGGGCAAAATTATCAACAAAGTAACATCTCTTAATCTCGGATATAGAATGGGCAACAAAAGAATTGGTATGGTGTGTTACGCAGACGATGCAGCAATTATTGCCGAATCAGAAGATGATCTCCAAAGGCAGCTCCTTCAGTTCTTTCAAACAAGCCGACTACTAAATATGAACATCTCTACCAACAAAACTAAATGTATGACAATAGCAAAAGATCCGCTCAGATGTAAGTTAGTGGTTGAGGACAACCCCATAGAACAGGTGATGCAATTCAGATATTTGGGCATAGATATATTAAGCACCCACGACCCAGTAAAGGACCTGAGGAGTCAGATCAACAAAGCATCTGCACTGTCAGGATGTCTGCGGAAGATAGTCTGGTCAAATCCGTATATGCGCACAGATAGTAAAATTAGAATCTATAAGACTTGCATACGACCGATCATGACATATGGCATAGAAGTGCGCGAAGATACCAACAAAACGAAATAGATGCTAAGGGTTGCCGAAATGAAAACCCTAAGAACAATAATGGGGAAAACAAGAAGAGACAGAGTGAGAAATACAAACATTAGAGAGCAGTGCAAAATTCAAGATATTGTAAGATGGGGAAGGCAGCGCAAGAGGATGTGGTACAACCATGTAAGACGAATGGATGAGAATAGACTCCCAAAAATTGCCCTAGAAAACAATCCGCCCGGTTCAAGACCCCCCGGAAGACCACCTAAAAGATGGAGGGATAGTTGCAATCTACCTCCCAAGAAATTAACCAGAGGCAGCTTCAGAATTAAACAGATCGAAAGATCTACAAAAAGTAGAAGAAGAAGAAGAAGAACTTTATGCTCAGAGTCAATAAATAAATATTTACCTCTATGATCAGAAAAACAAGGTTCAAATACGCCTGACAATTATATACTAGATATAATTATTTATAGTTACTTTTAGACCTAAAGATGTTAATAGATTTTAAATATCAAAAGAAGGGTCAAATTCAATTTTAAAATTTATATTAAAATCACCAAGTACGATCAGTGTGTCTGCTTTACTAAGCAGGGACATTATGTCATTCTCATACCCATACTCATATGGCTTCTCAACTATAACATGTTTGTTATAACAAAGAATAAAGAAAGATGAGCAACTCTTTAGAATAGCTCGAGACAGAGACAGTTTCGCCAACGTCAAGGGGACTTGATAGGGCACGTTAAGAAAAAGAGCATGTTTGCGATAAATAAATTAATATCGGAAAAATGTTTTTAGTTTGTAATTTTAAATTTTGGAATAAGCAGAGATTTTACATAATTTTAACTAAAGTTTTTCGAAATTTTTGTATTAATAATTAAACATTTATTTTCTAGGAAGATAAAATTCCTTATATTACCATTTTTGGTAATATTAAATTTAAGAGCCGCATTGTCCGCCCCAGGAGATGTAAGTTTTATTGTATCATCAACTGAACAACCAAAAGAAGGCAAGGAAGGAGAGGTATATATTTACTTTATCATTAGTTTGTGAAGTAATGGTAATAACTTATTTAATGAATATAGTGGGTGTAAAACCTTTTGAAGATTTCTTTTATCACTGTCTTGTATCAGTAAATCAATTCTGAAGGTAACCTGAGTACTCTAGAGAAGGTAACCTCTAAAGTAATACCTGAAGGTAACATAAATACAATATTAAACTGTGGATATGTTTTTTTTATTTCAGATCCCAGTACTTGAAGATGCTAACCTAGTTCCTGTGATTTACGAAATGGATGTGCATTCCAATGTAACGAATCGTTACGCTAAGACTGTGATAACAAATAGGGTAAAAAACCCAGCTAAGTCAGCCAAGCAAACGACCTTTTCAGTCGTTTTACCTGAAAAAGCATTTATATCGGAATTTGTAATGGAAATTGGCTGGAACAAATACAAAGCTTACGTCAGGGAAAAAGAGGAGGCTAAGAAAATATATACTAAGGTAAGTAGATCAAGAGTCTATACACACTTTTTAAAACATGGAATAGAATAGAATCTTGTAACAATACCTTTTCAATATTTTTTCTTCCTTAAATAACTATAAATTTGATTTTGTATTCTGGTCTCGTTTGACTCTTTATTTCGTGGTCGCATCTACTGTTTTCTAATACAGGTTTTAAAATAAGGTAACTCAGATATTTTAAGTTGGTTTTCAGGTCATCATTCGGTTTAATATTCCGTCCCATTATTCCTACTCTAGCATATTTGATTAATAATAGTTCCTTTCTGCAAGTACTCTTCTAATGTTATTATTTATAATTTTTTCTAGTTCTAATCTTGATTCTGGTTTTCTGATAAGTCTATTTCTGTTGTCAATAATTTGTATTTCCTCGCTAATTTCCATACATCGCTTACGTATGAGGGTGTTTTTAATAAGTAAATCATTAATCTGCAACTTTTATTTCATATTTTTTTACCAAATAAACCAAATTATTGGTTCTTTGATCTTTCGAGCAACACTTATTTTAGAGGTAATAAGTAAGGTAGGCCGTTGTAAATTTTGTTCCCTTTTCGGATAGAATGCTATTATTACAAATACAAGGTAAGCCAGTGAACATTAATGTAGTACAAGTATATGCTCCAACTGCAGATAAATCAGAAGCTGAAGTAGAACATTTTTATGAACAACTCAAAAAACTTCTACAATACACAAGAAAGGAAGAAATTACTATAATAATGGGTGATTTATTAAATGCAAAGATAGGAAAAGGCCGAGTAGACAATATAATAGGTGATAATCTATACCTATAGGTGAAATCACTATAGGTGATTTAGCAGTAAGGAATTCTAGAGGCGACAGATTGGCACAATTTTGTCAAGAAGAAAACCTGGCGATTATGAACACGTGGTTTCGATTACCACACCGTATATTTGAAGGTCACCACAGGATAATGAACAAAATTGCATTAGAAATCAGATTGACTTTATTCTAACCAATCTAATTCCATTGTAATGTAGAAATTTCATTGTAAGCGTTAAGACTTTTCCTGGAGCAGATGTCCTCTCGAAACATAACCTCCTTGTCTTAAAAATGAAACTGAGGGTGAAAAAGATAACAAAATCCAAAAATTTTAAGGTAAATACTCAGTTACTCAAGATAAATGAAATCCGTTATATCGAGTGGATATAACATAAAATGTTATATCCACTCTATTCTTCTCTATGGTATCGAAGCCTAGATTGTTAATGCTTTTTAGGAGAATTTTTAAGATACCATGGACCGATCATATTACGAACGAAATGGTGTTCGTAAAAGGTAGATAGAAAGCAAAGTTTTCTTGCCATGCATTTTAGTTTTAATTGACTAAATGAACGTACAATTGCAAACAAACGTCAACCAAACAAAATTTCTCCAAAAGCCCATGCATTTTCATATACAGGAAAGAGTAATTCGACGAGGTTACATCATCATCCAAATATACGTTATATAGGAAGTCATGTTTGTGTATAATTATTCGATTTTAATATATAAGACTTCCCTTTCAAAAGTTTGTTATATTTTTAATCGCTTTTGTATAAATTTCGCTATCAATCAACTAAAAGACTTTATTAATATTCATGTATAATTTTTGTTATTTTTAGGCAGTAGAAAGCGGCCAAAGCGCTGCTCATGTAGCGATAAGTACCAGAGATTCTAACACCTTTACAGTTTCCGTTAACGTTGGGGCTCAAGAAAAGGCAACATTCTATTTGACATATGAAGAACTTTTGGAAAGAAAAAATAACCAGTACGATTTAGTTCTTAACATTCGTCCCGGACAAGTTGTTGACCATCTTAATGTTCAAGTAAGTAAATTAACTTATCTAATGTAATCTCCAATTAAAGGTAAAAGGTAAAAGTAAGCACAATATTAAAAGCAGGAATACCTGGAAAATATTTATGGATCGAATAAAGTACTGGCTCTCGGAGTACTACTTACATACTACTTCATAACTTTGACTACACATAAAATTAAATTAAAAAAGAACACTTAGACGTGTTTTAATGTAGATGGTAAATATTCTTCTTGTGTTCTATCTGTTCAACGACTGGAGCCTTCAGCATGGGTTAAATTGGACCTACATGTATTTTTCTCACCATTATCTATTTAGTTTTTACAAGATTAATATTAAGACAAATATGCGGCAATTTTTTTGTTAAGCACCGTTTCATTAAAAAGGATCTATGGGTTTTTCAAGCTCTTAGCTAAATTTGCTCTGTACATATCTTATATTATTTATTATTTTACCACCAATTTTAGCACACTGCCTACCACTCAGGAATTTCTTGAGTATACACTGTGACACTACAACATTTTCGATGACAACACACTCTCCTGTAATACTTCTATTTTATTGTAATTGTTTTAATACAGATAGGCGTCAACTGTAAGGGATTTGATGGTAATAGAAATGTTCAAAAAAATGTTTCAAGGTGTTGATGCAGGATAATACAAACTAAATTTATTGTTGATAATATAGGGTGTTTCAAAAAGGTATGTGTACACAAAAAAAAGTTACAGCCCTTTGAAGTTACAAAATAAAAACTGTTTTTTTGCATTATCTCGTAAACTACTTAACACTTTGTTCTTGTTCTGAAAGCATTTTTTATAAAAAAAAATCTAAACACACAGAAAAAAGTAAGGGGGTGTGCAGCCCTAAACGCTTTCAAACTTATGAGTATTTTTGTTCTTCTTAGGGTGCCTGTCCGTTCCGAACGTTGGCGATCATTCCGGCTATGATGATTTTGTTGGTTGCTATACGAAATAGCTGTGTTGAGGTCTTTCTATACCATGCTCTCAGGTTAGCAAGCAAGGATATTCTTCTTCGTTCTGGAGCTCTTTTCTCTTCAATTTTACCCTGTAAAATGTATTGGATTAGCTCGTATCTGCCTTGATTTCTCATTATATGTCCCAAGTACTCCAGCTTACGGCTCTTCACAATGTTGACCAAATTCGCGGTTGTGTTCATCCTCCGCAGTACTTCTTTATTGGTGACTTTGTCTGTCCATGGTATCTTCAGGATTCTTCAGGTTTAAAAACTTTTTTACCTCTTACTTACTTTTTTAAAAAAACAGTTTTTATTGAGTTACGGCCCTTTCCATTAACCTTTAAAAAATTACGTGCAACTAAATAGATGGCTTAACTGAATTAACAAGTGCAAAAAATGTCTATAACCTCTACAAGTATGATATTACAATAAATGTTCAAATAACAATAAATGTAAATACACATTCTAACCCTCAATTGTTGTTCGTCCTCTATTGTTACTTTCTCTTTCATAAACCCCCAAAAGCAGAAGTCCATTTAAGACCTGGACTTCTGGATGGTGAAGAAATAGGTGCGTCACGACCCCTTTCAATCCACCGACCAGGATACTCCCTGTAAAGATATTCCCGGACTTCATTACTGTAATGAGGTGGAGCGACATCTTGTAGAAACCATATATTTTGCCTTATTGCAATATTTACTTCTCCCAAATACTCATGTAAATCGTTTGCCACAATTGCCATATTGTTATCCACAATTCCTGCCTAAACAATAACTTTAAAATTCCTTTGGTGATGAGTCGTTTGTTTGGCGTGAGGATTTTCGTCGGCCCAAATGAGCCCGTTATAATGGTTTGTAATTTCATTTTTACTGAAGGTAGCCTCGTTAGTAAACAAAATATTTCTAATAAAATTAACATGTCGAGTTTTTTCCATTAACAACCAATCGCAAAATCCAAACCTTTTAGGATAATCTTCAACCAATAACTCTTGAACCAATGTTAAGTGATAGGGTTTAAGCAGCTGATCCTTTAAACGACTCCAAACCATTATCTGAGGAACATTTAGTTGAACAGCTATTACCCTTGTGCTTGTTCCAGGGACTTTTTCAATGATTTCTAAAATGTCTTCATCAGTTGCATCCATTATTGGACGATTACTATTGCCAGCAACTTGCGGTTGGAATGTACCCGTTTTTCGTAAACGACGATTAATGATCATTGTTATATCAAAATTTTTAATATTAATCTTATTCACACAATAAATAATAGCTTCAAATTATTGACTATTATTGATGGAACTGTTTGTAATTATTGTATATGTAGAAACTAATTGTAATTTTATGGCCAACTAGGTAAAAATTGGTTTTTCTAGTGATTAGATTCAAAAAAGTTTAAAAAAAAATGTGTTAAACTAATGATGCCACAAAATTCATTTGATTTGAACGTCCTTAAAAATTTGGACGATTTAGGGCTGCACACCCCCCTTAAAATTTTTCTATGCACTTAGATTTTGTTGTTTCATTTGTATGAAAAATGCTTTCAGAACAAGAAAGTAACGTGTTTATTTTTATTACAAAATGCAAGTAGTTTAGAAGATAATGCAAAAAAACAATTTTTATTTTGTATCTTCAAAGGGCTGTAACTTTTTTTGTGTACAATTTTGTACTAAGGTAAGTTAGATTTAATCAAGTTATTTTTGTCCCCGGAATGCATGATTTAATTTATGACATATCTTTTTGAAACACCCTGTAATTAGGACACTGATATTATTGCTGAACACAAAAACTTCTAAAGTTTCTAAAATATAAACTAAAATCTCCCAAACATTTTTAAATTTAGTCACAATTAAAAATATTTATTGTTTACCCTTTTATTAATAGGTATACATCAACGAATCCAGACCTTTGGTCTTTGTGAAAACTCCATCTCTAAGATCTGGCAACGAAATCGCTAAAAACAACGATAAACTTGACCCCGCCTCTTTTATAGAAATTATTAACTCCACCAGTGCTCTAGTTAAGTTCCAACCAGATGTTGTAAAACAACAGGAATATGCTAAAGAATTAGGAGGAATAGAATCCAATGGTCTTGCAGCACAATTTGTAGTTCAGTACGAAGTTGAAAGAGACCCACAAGGTGGAGAGGTTTGTAAAAAATATAAATACCAAACGAACATTTTTTTATATAGGATAAATTCCGTTGATTATTCAATTATTGATTACGAAATCATATTTTGCTTTGTGCTTCGTCAATTTAATAAAATAAAAACCATCATTTATAAAGATAATTAAAAATAACACATTTTTTATTAGGTTTTGTTGCAAGATGGTTACTTCGTACACTTTTTCGTACCAAAGGACGCAGAAGTCATCCCCAAGCACGTATACTTCATCTTAGATACAAGTTCCAGTATGTATGGTAACAAACTCCAACAACTTAAAGATGCCATGACCAGTATTTTGGATGAGATCAAACCTGAAGACTCACTGAGTATTGTCGAATTCAACAGTGAAATATACGTGTGGGATATAGAAAATGAGAAATCAATTCTTGCTCAGTGGGACAACTATAGGGAACCGTTTGAAGAATTAGGTGTAAGTAATATTTTTCGTGAGCATGCTCCACGTATTTCCGAAGTATTTTTGTATCAGTTGCATACATTTGTCTTATATATTTAATTAAAATTATTATTTTGTGGAATATTAGATTTAAAGAGTTATTTCATAAAATTTATATTATTAATAATAATAAATGTTTTTGGTTATTTAATCAATATAATTCTAAAATTTCCAATATAATGATGATTACATCTTTAAAATCTAAGGTTCTCTTTCTTCAATCCTGACCCCCCAGGGGAAGTGTAGTGGTCGACGTGATGTCGTGTATTGTCCGTCTCCAGAGATCTCTGTCTCTGGTCATTTCTTTTAATTCATGCATAGGTCTTTGGCATATTCCTGTAATTTGATCTATCCATCTTGTTGGGGATCTTCCTCGTGATCTTCGGCCTTCTACCTTTCCTTGTATTATGAGTCTTTCCATGTTTTCTGTGTTTGCTCTCATAACATGCCCAAAATATTTTAATTGTTGGAGATGGACTTTACTAGAGAGTCGTTGGATAACTTTTAGCTCTCTTAAAATTGAATTATTTGTTCTACGGTCGATCCAAGAAATTCGTAACATTCGTCTCCAACAGAACATTTCAGTGGCGTCTATCTTTCTTCTCTCCGATTGTCTCAGAGTCCAAGATTCACATCCGTAGGTCAGTATTGGGAATATTAAGCAGTTGATCAACCTCATTTTTATCGCTCTTGAAATTTGACAGTCCTTCCATATTTTGGTCATTTTTGCTGTGGCAACTTTTGCTAGATCAAATCTACGTTTAATCTCTCCTTGTAATGACCCTGTGTTTGTGATTAATGATCCCAGATATAAGTATGAGCTCACAACCTCGAACCGGTCAATAGTGGTTATGTGTGGATGATTGTTGTTTAGTCTATCCACTATCGTGATCTTTGTCTTTGATATGTTTAATTGCAGACCAAATATTTTACTTTCGTTTTCGATCAGTCGTATAAGTTCCATCAGCTCAGGTTGTTTAGTTTATGACCATTTATTGAGATGCCCTTTTCCCATCCTTCAAGTTCTCTTCGCATAATATACTCCCCATATATGTTGAATAATTGTGGAGATAGTATACATCCTTGTCTGACACCCTGACACCCCGTTCTGGATAACGAAAGTGTGTCAAGTACTTTAACTGATCCAGTAGTGTGTTCATATAGTTTAGTTATAAGCGTAATTACATGTTGTGGTACGCCTACTTCTTTTAGTATTCGCCATAAGTGTCTCCACTTGACTTTGTCGAATGCTTTACGGTAATCTATAAAACAGATGTATAGTGGGATGTTGAATTCCCTAGATTTCTCGATTATCTGTCTTATATTCAGCAGTTGTTCTCGAGTGCCTCTACCTTTGGTAAATCCAGTTTGCCCTTGTGAAATTTCTCTTTAAAGGAATGTTTTCAGTCTCTCATTGATTATATGTAGCATTATCTTGCTGGCATGGGATATAAGAGAGATAGTTCTAAAATTGTCGCATTTATGGAAGCTGCCTTTTTTATGTATGGTCGTTATTGTACATTTTGACCAGTCTTCAGGCCATTGTTTTTTATGCCATATTTGGTTACAGAGTAGATGAAGTAACTTTACGCCGGTTTCTTCTGTGGCTTTAAGCATTTCTGCTGTTATCATATCTGGACCTGGTGCTTTGTTATATTCGAGCTTGTTGATAGCCTGTCTTACTTCAATCTAAGGTTAATGGCCTGAAATTTTAAATACAAATGACGTCACTTTTTATAAATCGTGACGTGCAAGTGTTTTACTTTGAAAAATGGTATAAGTTTAAGGTTTAATTATTAAGAGGTGCTAATAATTTTGTTCAATAATAGAGTTATCGTGAAAAGAAAAATCTTACATGCCTGAATTTTCCAGCCAAATACCTGCTTAATAATGTCACAGATGGTTTCTTCTCTAAATAGCAGACGCTAGAATAATAATTATTCTCGACTCAACATTTTTAAATGATAATAATATAAGAATAAAGTAAACACTTTGAACCTAACAATATTAGAAGTTTTAAATTAACCATATAATACATTTTTATTCAATATTATTTTCAAATAATTTAAAACCTGTTCTCCTATTCAGAAACTTAACTTACCAGGACCAGTATCAGCAACAAAGGAAGGAGTTGAGAAAGCTAAGAAACTTGTTGAGAATATGCAAGCCGGAGGTGGCACTCACATGATTGGTGGATTGGACGCTGGCCTATATCTTGTAAAATCCGAAATAGAAAGAACTAAAGGAAGCAAGGACCAGAGACAACCTCTTGTAATATTCCTAACAGATGGACAGCCCAACATTGGTTTACATTCTACAGTTGAAATTATTGATGTGGTATGTATTATACTAGAATATATTTGGTTAAAAGCAACTTTTTTGTAGGATATCTAATACTCCAACCCTATCATTCTCATTATTTAACCTGCGTTTGAATTTTTGCTTTGTGTAATTTTTTTGACGGCTAAAAATCTTACTATGTTCCCAATAATTATCTGTATCAATCAAATCTGCTAATCCTTTTTTTTTAATTTTACTCAATATTGCGTTAGTTCAAAAAAGTTACTCTATACCTTGTTTTTACAGTAAACATACGTAATGCAATATTTATGGGAGTTTTTAGTTCGACGATGCCGATTTTATCTAAAAGAATTTATAATCAAACGTAAGAGAGTTTAAATTAAAACTATTTTAAATAGACAATCAATCGTTTTAGGATTGGCATGCGTAATAACTAAAGTACATCAAATAAACTTCAAATAATTATTGATAATAACTACATGAACATTAACATTATAGCTCTAGTTCATTGTCGCAAGAATAAAGAGTGATATTTGTCAAATAGTGCATAGTTTTTTCGATAAGAGTATATCTCCAATATTAAATGATATTATAACAACAGTAAATAAAGACGAAAGTTTGCCTAATTTTTGTAAATCTACACAGGATAAATTGATTTAGTATATAGGATTTACTTATATAGTATTATACGGAGTAGTGGCTATACCGTTCTGAGGACACCTAAAGAGGTCGAAATACGTATGAGCGGCTTGTCGCGGCTCTATATCGAACCAAAATCTAGTACCGTCATTATGTTTTATTTATTTACTCCGTTTGAAGTACCAGAAATTGAATTCGCTACGAATTTTGACCATGATGAACGGCATTTGGAATGCAATCTTAGATTCCCTTGCCGAGTAATTTATCAAGCTGTTTGCTTTGCAAGTTTTAGAAAGCACAGTGGTTAAGATTTAAATTCGATTTCGCCAGGTAGAAATCGTATGATCTCTCTTTCTATATAAGATTTATGAATACAAAAAAAGGACAGAAAGCATATGTTGATAGAAAAACCTGAAATTATTTCTGGGCACCATCGATATCTACAGAACGAAATTCGTTTATTTTAGAAAGCAATTTACAATCTTGTATTTATATGGACAAATCATATATAAATATGGGTCATAGTGTTAGTTACGAATGAACAGACAATTCAGTATCGTTACATAGGAACACATTTGTTCGTGGACTCACTCTAGGCTTAAAAGTTCCTACTTCACGTGGTCCGCGTTTCGTTGTACTGCGTGCAGGAAATGAAGATGGTTTTATTTCCTGCACCGATGGTACCTAACTAACTTTCTAAACAAAGAAAAAGACAGCATGTTTTCATGACAAAACGGATAGACTTCTTCGCGACAATTGGTTTAAAGTTAACTGTTTAAGTATACTGATAAGAATTGATGGCATAGTTTCTAAAGTTGTTATTACATATAATTCATGCTGGGTTAAATAACCCCTTAAAAACCTCCCATGGTCTTGTACTCTGATACTTAATACCTCAAAAACGCTAGTTCATGTTGTAACGAAAATATTTTGCCTACCACAGGGGGCATTAATACGGGAGATAGAAAATTGGGGGAAAAAACTATTGGGGGTGGAGATAGGGCAAGCAAAATAATCGCTACTGATGCAAACGGCACTCAGGGTTTCGTAGGAGAGCTGGGGTCGTGGATAAGTAAAAGATAAGGGCATTGGAATGGAGCAACTACAAAACAATGAAATAAAGGGCTCTTGGGATAAACAAAATAAAAATAAACAAGAAACACCTCAAGGAATTTAATATAGGGCGCCACTTGAGGTGCCTAATTATGCCTATTACAACCACTAGTTGTAACTAGGGAAATAATTAGAAAACAAAATCAAAACATAAAAAACATATCTTTTTCAAATAAACTCAAAAAGGGTTAGCTCAAAAAAAAATAAATAAAATGTTAAGACAACAAAATTTAACATTTATTTATGTGTCACCACAAACAGTTACAAAATGGAGAAATACAAAATACAAAAACTTACGTGTCATCCGCTTACAAACTCCAGGAGTTGGAGATACTACATAATCTTAAAAAATTTATATGGAGGTTAACCTTGTTTAAAAATAAAACAAACTAATAGTCAAAAAAAAATAATAAAAAACGAGCTGTCACAAGTTAACATTAAATTAAAAAAAAAACTAAACACACAAATTGACAGCTCAACTCAAAACCTAAAATTTACAATTTTAAATGTCAACGAAAGCAATTATTTAATTCAAAACAAATTGTCTGTCTTTACTTTAAAATTTGATCAAAAGTTACCTGGAATTTCACGAACAAAATGCACTAGAATTTGTGGAACCAAATGCCACTGGAATATCCGAAACCATAACTGGAACTGAGGGCTTTACTCTCTGTGTAATGAACACAACTATCTATCTCCATATCTTCATATCTCGAACAAATCTATCTCCATACTGCCAAAAGCCTTGGATGATAACCAGGGAGAAACAAAACGAGGATGGAATCGACGATTCTTCCATTCCTCACTCAAACATTTACTGAACCATTAACTTCACACTGCTACACATTTTCTTCATAAAAAAAGACGAACAAACGTCTTCATAAAAAAACACAAACAACGAGGAACATTTCGAATTTGAAGTCAAATTCGGACATAACGTTGACCGCCTTTCACCGCGGCTCCAACGATAGTGAAGAAATTATCTATTCAAATTGATCGCATAACTTGAAAATAAACAAACACTTGACATAGCAAAATCAACGAACGACGTAGATATCCTTTGCGACGCATAAAATTGAAAAGAAATTTGCCGAAGTAAAATAAACAACTCTCAAATGGTTTTATTACTCGGCGACGAAACACTTTTGGGTACTTTGAAAGATACAAACTAACAAACACGGGAGAATTCCTAGATTTATTTTTTAAATATACATAAGAAGTTTTTAATATATTTTATTATACGAGGAGGTTTCAATATACTCAAAAGAATCAATGAAATTGAAAATGCTACAATGTAAGTAATATATTACTTCCATTAATAAAACATGAAGAACAACACCTAATTACATTTTAATCATACTATTATTGTTTTTTCTTTCTGTTCTCTATGGATCAGTTAAAACAGACCATTAAAAGATGTCACAAATTAAGTTTTACTATCCTTAACTAAATTTTAAAATGTATTTTGTCCATTATTTTATATGTGTGTTATTAATGTTGAGTGTCAAAGCTTTATATAAATAATATCAACGACTAGTAAGTTGCACTGACGAATTGTGATATATTGTAAATGTTTACATATTCTTCTAATTACATTGTCTTGAAAAAGGAATAAAATAATTCCGAAAGCTAGACCAAAAGTCAAAAGAGTGTTTTTGTAACATCCCGGCCAAATTTCTAACTGCAGCCCTAATAAACTGTGTTGTTTGTTCATATCGACAGTCACTAATATCCAGTATTTCATATATATATATATATATATATATATATATATATATATATATATATATATATATATATATACTTTATTTATAATTCACATATTTAGGTAACTAAGTTAAATGAAGACAGCATCAAGGCTCCACTGTACACTCTGGCTTTTGGAGATCTTGCCGACGAAGATTTCTTAAGAAAACTCGCTCTGAAAAACAAAGCATTCTCAAGACAAATTTACGAAGCAGCAGATGCAGCTATACAATTGCAACAATTCTACAGACAAATATCTTCCCCACTTTTATCAGATGTTCATTTTAAATACAACGACGATGCTAGTGAAGTAACAAACACAGGTTTTCCCATTTTATACGCTGGTGGAGAAATCGTAGTCACTGGACGATTTGTAGGTAAGTTTTTGTCTATTATTATCTTTTACTATATTGTTAAAGCAAAACATTGACCAAGTATTCTAAAATTGATAATAATTTTTAAATAAGTATTTAAGTGCCTTTATCTTAGATTGTTTGCGACCTGACTTTGTTTCTGATGAAATAAAATGAGTATTAGATTATCCTTACGTTTAATATATATTTTTTAGGTCATGAATTTGATCCTACAATAAGAGCCGTAGGTAAACGAGGACCTTTAACATACAGACCAAGGGTTCATAAGCCAGTAAATTCTTTGGAACGTCTTTGGGCATACTTGACTGTTAGAGAAACTTTACAAAAAATGAAAATTGCCAAAGACAAGACAGAACTTACCAAAAAAGCTTTGAAGCTCGCTCTTAAATATTCCTTTGTTACTGAAGTAACATCATTGGTTGTAGTTAAACCCAACTCTACACTTCCCATATATCCAGATGAGGGATATCGTAAGTACCTTTATTTATTTTGTTACTGCTTATGTCTTCTATTTTATATAATAACTAGATGACCCGGCGAACTTCGTACCGTCTTAGAATTGTGACCATGTTAATTTCGCAAACTTCCAACGGTTGGTTTTCTGATTTGTTTATTATCATTGCGAAAGCCAAAAGTTTTATTTCAGTGATGAATCCTTAGGAAAGAGAAACTCAACGTCTAACTACTTTATATGAAGGAGTAACTTTGGATGTCGAAAATGATTCCGATAGTTCTATTGCCGACGATGATAGAGAAGAGTTTAGCGATCATGACATGAAATCTGAGCAAGAAGATATCCCGGAAGCAACACCAACGATTGAAGAATAAACAATTATTGGCGAACAATCTGACAGGAGATTATATTATTATGTGAAGGATGGAACTAAATGGAAATAATTTGCACCACCTACAAATATTCGCACACGACGGGAGAATAAAGTTTCTCACTTACCAGGAACTATCGTGGAATCTTCTAATGCAAAATATTATTGAACTTGTAGTAGTAGAATACACCAATATTTATATTAGAGAAATTTCTGGAAGATACAAAAATCAAAATGACGTCAAACTTACATTTAATCCAGAAATGGGAGCTTTTATTGGTTTGTTATATTTACCAGGTTTGGATTAAGGCTCTCGAAAAAAATTAGAAGAATTTTGGCAGACGATGGCATAAGATTAGAAATATTTAAAGCGACCGTGGCACAAAGACGATTTAGATTTATGTTAAAAGTAATACGTTTTGATTATATATAAACCGAAACAAAGACTCAAAATCGGTAAACTAGCTCCGATAAGAGAGATTTTTGAAACATTTGTATTGTCACATGTATCATTGTGATTTCTACGGCCATGTTGCCAGTTCAACGAAAATATTATATAAAACCAGCTAAAAGCAAGGCTGTGTGACAGACCGTCAGTTTTGAGTATACTAAAAACTAAAACATTATCTCTGCTTATTTAATTTCTTAGATTCCGTTTTTTTTTTTGGTAATGATAAAAATAATACCTATCTAAAAATTTTATATATTTTTGAACGTTATTTTTTTATTTAGATTTAGTAAAATTTCGTTATCTGTAATGGCAACAACGAATTGATTTCTGAACACAGGTTTACATTGGGAAAAAAAGTGCACCAGTTTTATATGACGGGAAGTGTACATTCCAAACAAACCTAAAAAATATGGTATCAAAGTATTTGCCACTGTTTTACCATATAAAGTAAATAATTTGTGTTCAACAGTTACTACAGAATGTGTGAACCTTTCTATGGAACAGGAAGAAATATTACCATGGATCGCTGGTTTCTTACTTGCAACCTTGTTATCCTACTGAAAAGAGAACACAGGTTAACGGTTTTGGGTGCCATTCAGACCCAAAGAAAAGGTTTTTCACAAATTATGACCAGTGTGAAAGACCGCCCTGTAGGTTCCTCTGTTGTTGATTTTGGAGCCCATATGATGGTGACATTGCACGTACCCAAACATAATAAAAATTTGTTACTAGTTTCATCTTTTTATCATACTGATACAGTAGACGAAACTAGCAAGAAGCCAGGGATGATTTTATTCTATAATGATACCAAATGTGGAGTAAATATTGTAGATAAAATTGCGTCATCTTACGATGTGTCTAGAATTATTAAACCATGGGCATTTGTAATTTTTATGGGTTTCTAAATATCGCCAGTATTAAACAACGAAGAATGTATTAAAAAATTAGGAGGAGACTAACATTCGACAAGATGATATGAAATACTCTGAAATGCCGACACAAAACCGACTTAATCCACCACCATGTAAAAGAGGGCATTGCAAATATTGCAAGAAAAGGAAAACCCGATATTTTTGCACATTTTGCGAAGTTTACTTATGCATTGATTATATTGTAGCCTGCTGTTAGGAGTCTATTCAGCAAAAAAATCTAAGAAACTGTCTGCGTGGACTAGAGTAGAAGTTTTGATTAGATTACCTAACCCTGAATAACAAGTAGAAAATTTAAGAGGTATTCTATTATATACTATGCAAATTGTGCAACTTAAAATAGATATCTTAAATTGGCTTTTTTTATTTAAATATTGCGGCAATATTGTTCTTTCTACTGCAAAGAGGGAAGCAATGTAACAAAGACAAGAAAATATCATGTGCACAGCTGTATGAAGAGTTGAAAACACCCGAGAGGATGAAAAGGTTATAAAGCATTGCTAAAGCAAGAGACAAGTCATTAAAGGACTTGACTCACGTTCGGCATATTCAGAATGCGGATGGAAGAGTGTTAAGAGCCGATGTTGAAAAAAAAAAGATATGAATACTTTAAAAAGTTGGGAAATAAAAAATACCAAAAGAGATAAATAAAAAATACCAAAAGAGATAAAGGATGCGGGATACCAAATAAGAATGTAATACCGGGGATAGCGAGAGATGAATTTGTCGAGGCGTTAAATAAGATAAATAATGGTAAGATTGTGGATCTGATGGAATACCTGTGGAAGTGTAGAAGACTCTAGGAGCGAAAGGGGTTGGTTTTTTGTGACAAATGATAAGTAACATATGTTAGGGCGAAAGGATGTTTAATGCATGGAGAGAGAGTGTTATGGTATCAATGTATAAATAAAGAGGACATTCAGGACTATAAAAACTATAAAGGGATAAAATTAATGCCGCACACTGTCGCACGCTTCGTATAATGAAATTACCACTGCTTATACATTACATTATTAAATTTCAATATTAATCACTTTAATAATGCTACCTAAGGTTAAAATTAAATCATAACTATTAATAAATCGTTGGAAGTGCGTCTTTGATATTCTTAGTTCTTCAATCTCATTTTAATGTTTTTTATTACTTTTACATGTACCTACAATAGACCACATGTTCTTTTGCTCTGCTAAGTTTTAACAAATTGCTAATTGTAGTTAGTTCAATTTATTGTTTATACAATATAATCGTATAATGTCCATTCACTTGAGCTTATTTACATTTTTAATATCACTGACTGCTACATATCTTTTTAAGGTAACACATGTAACAACTTTTCCATGCTTGTATGTTTTTTTTTCATATTGTTCTTTTTAGATGAACTGATAATGCTTTCTGATTAAGAAAGCGGAACGTCTTCAATAAATAGATGAAGTAGCCATCAACTTTGTCTCTTTTCTCCACCTTTTGACCGATAAAAAAACCCACCACTCGTCTGAGTGATTCTTAATTTATATTGGATTGACGGTCGTACTCCTTTTCTCGATATATATATATATATATATATATATATATATATATATATATATATATATATATATATATATATATATATAAAATTATATATTATATATTGTTATAGTCTATACATATATAATAAATCGTTTATTAAGTCTAACCATTGCTGTATTGTTATTTTGGTAATAAGTGAAATTCAGTAGCTTGGATAGAGGCTTTATAGAACAACAGAATAACAATATTATGTTTACAATAATATACTTTTATTTTCAGCAATTCCAAGAGAACCTGCGTATCCATACGCATCTGCTCAATCTTCAGGATACGGAGGCGGTGGATTTGCTGGAGGTTAGTAAAATTTAATTTCTTAATTTTATTCCATTAAATTATTCTACATACCAATTTAATATAAATTAAATTTGATTTAATAATCAATAATAATAAAAAGTATAAATAATTGAAGGCACCGAAAATTATAAGAATAAGATTAAATCCTTACATTTAAAAACAAAGAAAGAATTGATATCTTTTTACATTTTGAATTGTTTTACATTTTTCAGTTAAAAATGATTAAATATACCGTTATCTAGCCATTGGCTTACTGTGTCCATTGGCTCACTGTGTCCCGCACAAAATTACTCCATTTCACTCACGTCAGTTCACGCGAGTGAGTTCCCAAATTGAGTCCAACTCACAAACACGTGATTCCGTGTCTAAAAACTAAGTTTAATCCAGATTTAATTCAAATGTAAAAATAAACATTGACTGTACATAAGCATCTTCTTATTTTTCTTCATGTACGCTCTCCTCATCGTAGGTTGGCGAAAATTAACTAAATTCGTCTTTATCTTATGCTTATCGCATAATTGTGCTGGTTTCCCTGACGTCGAGCATTGTGGTAAGTTTCGAAGTCAGAAGAACTTCTTTCATCTAATACCTCACCTTCCTTTGATGTTACTTTAACAATCAACTTCAGAAAACCATACTATATCTAAAGATATAGCCAAAATAAGCTTCTTTTCTTCGTTTAACTGTTGTCAGTGGTTTCTTATCTTTATGCATTCTTTCCAACACCAGATGGTTTGATACTCTCTCTATCCATGGTATTTTCAATAAACGCCGGTACAACCACATCTCAAAAGAATCCAGGCGTGACATGATTCTTTAATTTAACGTTCATCCCTCAGCTTCGTACAACAGTTTAAATAATACGTAGCGATTTATTGAGCGACATTGAATAGTCTAACTCAGGTCTCTATTGCAGAATAATATTTTCATTTTGAAAAACATAATGCCGGCTATTTCGATTTTCATTTTGACTTTAGCATCAGGATCCCATTGATCGTACTTAAATCTCCAACTAATTTTAAAAAACCAAGTATGTACTTAAATATAGTTACTCTGTCTCTATCCTGATTTAACAGCGGTACGCTGACGTTGTCTATACCACGTTTGTTGATGACCATGAATTCTTTATATGAAGAATATTATTTACACCTCTGTCTAATCATTATCATCTGAGATCACTGACAGCCATGATCATGACTGACAGAAATGGTCGCCCGTTCAGGTTTCTAAGCTCATGTTTTACATAGTGTGCAGACCAGGCGCATTTATCGGAAGGTTAAATATATTATTTTGTAAATCCTATATTTAAGACCCATATTGTTTGGATACATTAAATAGGTTATTATATTTGTTCATATATTAAACAAAGTAACTTAAGTAATCGATACTTTATTTTACTATTTTAGGTCAACCTCTAAGGGCTGAGTTATTAGAAGATAGTGGCTACTCTTCTACTCCAGGTAAGTCGAAAATAATTTAAAAAAAAATATGTTTTAAATAATAGTTAATAATTTAAGGTAATATATATATATATATATATATATATATATATATATAGATATATATATAAATATATATAGATATATATATATATATATATATATATATATATATATATATATATATATATATGTATGAGTAAGAAAAAAGAAGTACTTGTGACGCGTTTGGAAAAAATATAAAACTGTTTTGGATGGATTGGAGTCAATAAAAGGGGCTATTTGTTGATTATTTTTTACTCGAGCTTTCAATTGTGTTTTCAATTATTATCAAGAGCTGCTAAAAAATACAAAATGTCTTACAAAGTTGAACTAGAAATAAAAAATTTTTTATTAACTCACCAAATAAAATTAGTTTTGTATATAAAACACAAGAGTGAGTTAACAAAAATATTTTTATTTCTAGTTCAACTCTATATATATATATATATATATATATATATATATATATATAAATTATATATATATATATATATATATATATATATATATATATAAACTCGAGAACGAAAGGTAACTGAATCATGAAAATTGGAATGAAGGAGTTCTGAAGAGTAACCTATTTAATGAAAATATTTTCATCTATTTACTTCTTGTGGTTATACCAGAAGTTGCTTATAACTTTGTTTTTTTTTTAACCCTGTACCTAGTACAGTAGTACAGTAGGTACCTGTATCCTGTACACAGTTCAGGCTATATCGACATGGTTCAGGTGAGTTTAAATGTAATTTCCAATAACATCTGTGTCTCATGATGTTATTGTATAAGCAGTTTCGTCTACGTAAAAAAATAGTCAAGCCACTATTGTATATAGTATAAAGTGTGGGTTCAAACATGTAAATCCAATAAGTATTAAACCACATTTTTATTAGAATCTTTGTCAAAATTTTGAAATTTACGTTTACTTTAATTAAAGAGGTAATACTTATTTTAGGATAGCACTGGTGATGGAATAGTTATAAATTATGGCATCCTGAAACTTGTCAGATGTCCGAGTACCTTATGTTGTCAAAGGCCATTTCTCCATTACATTTAGATTATTCAGACATCCCTTACAAAAAAATAATTTCTGACTTCCGCATTCCACATCCTCGCCTACACAGTCTTATAACATAACTCAAAGAAAAAAGTTGTTCTCAATAATTTCTCCTATACACAAAAAGTTTAGTTTACTCACTCTCTCTCTATCTCTGTCTCTCTATTCTGGCAGCAAGTTCGCCATATTGATCAAATTTTTGTTTTATGCTAATTTTAATTTGTGATTTTCATCTGTACCATCAATATTTTTTTTGGTACGTAGTTTACACTGTTAACGTATTTTGTCCATTTTTTCTGTATTAGTATAGTCACGCCTTCTTTATATCTATCATTCTTAGGGACTCCGGGATATAACTGAAGGTATTTCCCTATCCATTATCCCTACCTGTCTTATGCTTTTCTTTTTTTTTTTGTATCTTAAATAGCTCATATGTGTTTTGGTCTGTGTTGTTCAATAATTTAATGTTGCAGGTGGATATTCTTATATTGTTGCTTGTTATCTTTTATTTTTAATCTTTTCCTTGCTCTTGCTTGTGTCATCAGTGATTCGTTGCTTCCATAAGAAATCGTCGTTTCTTGCCCGGCTGCTGGTCTCACGACCATTGCAGGAGTTCCTTCTCCTTTATCATATCTTGTGACAGATAATGGTGTCGAAAGTAGCTTCTGAGCTCCCGATCCAGCCCTAATACCATTGGTAGAGTTTAAAATTTCAAATTTAAAAATTAATACATTGTTATGACCGATATTTCAAATTAAAAGCTGCCCATGAGACATTTAAAAAGGTGTACTAAATGTGACATAAATTTTCTTTATTTTGTTTTCAGACACACCCCACAGAGTTACACATAAAGTAGTACGAAAGCCAAGAGTACGAACAAGTAAGTTTACAACATTCAGTATGTTTATTATGTTATTTTTTTGGTTTGTTTATTTTTTTTTTTTTTGAAACGCAATATGCCAATTATCTTTTGACATCATTAGAAGTGTACCACAATTAAAAAAAAAAACATAAAAAGTGCAATTTAAATATAAAAAACACTTATACGATTGAATTGTACTTCGATCTGCGTAACACTAAATTCTAAAAATAATTTAACACTAGAAAGTCAAAAAACTATGTTTATTTTTGGTTATTGATTTTTTTTTCTTTTTTTCGCTCCCTTATGTTCAAATTCAAATAGTATAATTTAGAAATATTCTAGTCCATAGATGATATACTCTGATAAATATCTCATTTTATATAAGCGCCAAGCTACTATATTTAAAGTTGGCGACGTTTCTCGCATCCTAAGGGCGAGCGCCCACCAAAGTGGCGTGACACGTAGCAAGTAGCAAGTAGCACGAGTCTAACATGTTTCTTAAAATGTAACCAATGAAAACGAATGATTCAGCGTACACCAAAATGACAGTGACGTCATTCATTCTAATCATTCGTTTTCATTGGTTACATTTTAAGAAACATGCTAGACGTGTGCTACTTGCTACGTGCTACTTGCCACGCCACTTTGGTGGGCGCTCGCCCTAATTTCTAGCGTTTTCTGTCGAAGTAATCTTGAGTTTTTTAATTCCTGGCGGCCATTGCATCTTCGATATCTTTTCTTCATGACCGACTTAGTCTACCTCATTTTCTTCTAGTGGGCGGAGACGGTTTTTCTATCTTTTTTGGCCATCTATAGTTTATTTTTATGAACGAGAGAGTAATTAGCATAATTTTAACTGGTACCTTCGACCACTCCATGGGCGTGCTCAAGATTAATTGAAAAATTACTTTGAATAATTGTAAAAAATAAATGAATTATTTCAGTGTTATAAAGTGTTATGTGTATGTAAACAAAAGTGACCTCTTTTATCACACACTATATTAGAACTGACTGGCCTACATTAAAAAGAGTTTTAAAAAATTCACATTTTTTTTTAATTTTTAAAAATTACAAAAGAGAAAAAGAGTTTTTAAAACCGTCTAAGATATGTTAAATAGATGAATAAAAATATTAATATAAAACATACGGCTACTTGTTACAAATCCAAATCAGATTCAGAAGATGAACTTTCAGAACAAAGATTTATAATAACTGGCTCGATCATTTTATCAGTAATATTGTCCAGCTTCCACATTTTTTCCTCTTCTTTAATAGTGTGATTTACTGCCTTTTCCCAGTTTTCAGGTTTTACATTATTTACGGCCTCCAAAAACAACTGTTTAACATCATGAATTTTAAAAGTGGTATTTTTTCTTGAAACTTCACTCTTTATCTGTGCCCATACCAGTTCAATCGGGTTTAATTCACAATGATATGGTGGGGATCTAAGTACTGTCATTCCACGATTTTTGGCAATTTCATCAATTTCGTATTTTTAAAATTTTTCTTTATGAAGGGCACACAACGAATAAAGTTCCTTTCTTATAGATCCGGGATGGTACGTAATATTTTTTGAACTCAGCCAATTCTGCAAGTCTTTTTTTAACCACTTGGTTGTGGGCAGTCCTTCTATAAGTCTGGAGTGATAACTTGCATTATCCATTACTATTACACAGTTCTTAGGAAGAAGATCTATCATTTGTTCGAACCATTCTTGAAAGACATCAGCGTTCATGTCTTCATGGTAGTCACCGGTACGAGTTGATTCAAAAGTTAATAAAACACCTTCAACAAAACCGACTAAACTGCCAATGTGTACTATTATCAGCCTGCGTCCCTTTCCTGATGGTGGGTTTAAACCAGTAGATAAGTTATTTACAAAAGCGTGCCTTTGACTTGTAACAGTTTCATCCTGCCAAAATTTATTTGGTGTATGACCCTCGTTGATCCATGTTTCATCAAGATAAAATATTTTTCTTTTTTGGTTTCTCATTTCCTTTATGGTTCTTAGAAAATGTCTTCTCCATATGACAATATCGCTTCTTTCTAATAAAATAGACTTTCTGGGATTCTTTTTCCAGCGGAAGCCCATTTCTTTTAAAAGTTTCCATAACGTACTTCGACTCATTTCTGGGTAATCCTTATCATCTCGAACTGAGACAAGAACTTTATTCAATGTTGGAAATTCTTGTCTAAGGAAGAATTCATGCACTTTCCGTCGAAGTCCTTCTTTAAAATGATATTCTATTTGAAATTTTGGTTTCCCTGGAGCATTACGTGGCATTTGAAAACTACCACATTTCTCTTCTTTACTAACTCTGTAAATCGTAAATTTCCCAACACCAAGTGTACTGCTAACTAACTCAACCGTCTCATCAACACTTTCACATAAACGTTTGTCTGTAAATGATTTAAAACAATTAAATATTAATGTTTTTTCATTATTAACTGTTAAAGGACCAATTTTTCGGCGTTTACACGGCACTTCCAAATTTCCCATAACACTAGTATACACAATAAACTGCACCTTGCAACTGAAGTACCTACTTTTAGTGAACTGTTAAGAATTTTGAATACGCCACTTGGACCTTCCTACAAAATGGAAAAACTCACTATCACATTTTCTGTGGAATAAGTTTAGAAGGTAATTATCTAGTCAATTACTGTCGTAGATTCCTGGAATTAAAGAATTAAATGTTTGATTATTGAAACCCTTACTTCGTGGAATGCACTCATTTCAGATAAAATAAAACGTTTTATTTTATCTAAAGAATTAAACTTTATTTTGCAAATAGGTAGGTACTTATTAAAGTTTTATTGGTTATATATAACCAATAAAATAAACATCTTACATTTCTTGCAAATTCATTAGTACCTGTTAACCTCCATCACTCCGACACTGGCAACCTTATTTAGGGATTATTAACCCTCACAACTATTGTATTCTATTCTGCTCCAACCTTTATACCTGGTGGTCATACTCAATTTAAAATTGTTTGCCTATATACTTCTGTAAACTTGTTGACAAATATCTGTTTTTCATTGAGTCACCCGTATCAACAGTTTAGGGATTTGCATACATAATTTATTGTTTTATTACTCTCTCATACATAAAAATACACTATAATTTCCGGCATTCTCTGCAGGTGTCATAGCAGGTCAGTCTTTTGGCCCTGATAGTATCTATTATTATGTATAGGTCAATTTCCATTTCTCTCCTAATGTCTACATTCCTCACATGATCAAGTCTACTGTGCCGGCAACATCGTCTCCAATAGTCCATTTCGAAGGCCTTAATTTTTTATTTGTTTCTTTGACTGATATCCCAAAGTTTGTCACCGTACTCAACTCAACTCAACTTCTTTCTATTATTGTTTTATAAATTCTTCTTTTATTTTTTTTTTGTTATTTTATTATTCCACAATAGTCCGTATAGCTATCTTGCTTGGCCAGCCCTAGAATGTATTTCTTCGTTACTCCCTGCTTTTGATGTTATTTGGATCTCCAAGAATTTAAAGGCTTCAGTCGATTTTATGGTTCCCATTTCAATTTGTAAGCTTTCTGATTTGTCTCCTGTAACTAAATATTTGGTTTTTTGTATATTAATTGTAAGACCCCGCTTTGTGTACTCCTCCTACAGTTTTCTAAACATATAGTCTATATCACTCCCGTCTTCAGCTAGAACGGCTTGGTCGTCAGTAAAGTGTATCGTGTACAATCTCTCGTCTTCGATTGAAATGCCCATCTTGCAGCGTTTTTTCTTCACACTTAGAGCGCCTCATTGAGATATATTTTGAAGAGTGTAGGTGCTATGCCGCAGCCTTGATTTAGACCCTAACTAATAGGAATTTTTCTAGCTAATTTGTTTCCAGTTTTATTGTTTACCGTCATATTTTTATAAAGCTGTTGTCCTTGTTTTTCCATTGCTACCCAGAGCATTGAAACTGGTACACTATCGTATGTCTTTGTCAGATCTATAAAGACTACATGAGTTAAAAGGTTGTGAGACAATCTTTTCTCAATAACCTGCTTTAGAAAAAATGTACTGTCTATACAGGATCTGCCTGCAGGAAAGCCATTTTCTTCTTCTACATCTCTAATCTCTTTTCCAAATTTAATTTTTTATTATTTTTCCATAGAGTTTTGAGAGTGAATTTATGACATTTTGCCTCCTGTAATTTGAACAATCTATCTTGTTTTTTGTAGATGTTAATATGTGCTTTTTGCCATTCCGTTGATAAGTTTGTAGAATAGGGTCAAAACACACGCCAGTAATTGCCGCAATACTTGTGGGATGTGTTTTAATAATTCGTTTGGTATACCTTGTGGTCCGCCTACTTTTCGATTTTTTAGATTTCGTATTGCATCTTTGCCTTCCTATACTCTTATTTCATCATCTTCATCGTATTTAACTTCATGTTGTTGTAATGGGGAAAATTCAAGCAAGGGACAGAACAGAATGGCGTAGAAAGCTTGAGAAGGTCGAGGCCCTCTAAGGGCTGTAGCACCAAGATGATGATGATGATGATGATGATGATGATATTGTTGTTGTAATGGTGTTCATGAATTGTGGTCTTGTTTCAGTCAGAAGTTGTGAGTAATGTTCGATCTAAGATCTTTTTTTTATTAGATCTATTCTACTCACTTCTTTTCTGTTTGTTCTTAGATTTTTACCGTCTTCCTTGCTTCTCTTGATCTCGTTGACCCATATGTTTGTTGAGCTCTTCGCATTTACTTTTCCAGGATACATTTTTTGCTTAAATTACTAGAATTTTTACTTTTCTGTTTGATCTTGCGTATGTTCGTCTGTCATCTGGGTCATTTGTTTGCAGCCACTTTTAATACGTTTGTTTCTTGTGGCGTACTGCATTAGCGAAGCCATTTGTCCACCACAATGGAGTATCTTTTTTGTTCATTTGGATCCTGCCGAGTGCTTCATTAGCTGCTTCATTGACTTTATTATCTCTTGGTAGTTATCAAGATATACTATATTTTACATTTAGACCCTATATTTAGATCTGTGGTATTGTAGAATTATGATTTATTGTAATAACATTTTTTTTGTATACAGCAACAGTTAAGCCAGTCCCATCACCGACACAAACCGAAAAAGGTAAAAACACAACAGTAGAACATTCCTTAAAATGGTTGTCGACTGCTTTAAGTGAAACGAACACTCTATCCCTGCCATCAGGTAAGACTATAATGTTTCTTATATCGATTTTTTATTTTAATTACTTTCTGATTCCTTAACTGCCTTATCTAACATTCTCTAGTACCTAGGATGACTTTTAGTAAACTTAGAAAACATTTTCAATCATACTATTTTTGTTTTTTTTTTCTTTCTATTCTCTATGGATCAGTTAAAACACACCATTAAAAGATGTGACAAATAAATTTTTACTATCTTTAACTAGATTTTAAAATGTATTTTGTCCATTATATTATATGTTATATTTTATATGTGTGTTATTAATGTTGAGTGCCATAGCTTTATATAAATAATCTCAACGACTAGTAAGTTGCACTGACATTTTGTGATATATTGTAAATATTTACACATTCTTCTAATAACAGTGTCTTGAAAAAGGAATTAAGCAATTCCGAAAGCTAGACCAAAAGTCAAAAGAGTGTTTCTGTAACATCCCGGCCAAACTTTTGACTGCAGCCCTATTAAACTTTGTTGTTTTGTTTATATCGACAGTCACTAATATCCAGTAATTTATATATATATATATATATATATATATATATATATATATATATATATATTTATGTATATGTAAAACCGTGTATATTAATGTGGGTATTTATACATTTCTTCATTGCAGGAGAATTAAAACTTGGTGAAGATTCATTAAAAATTACTCCCAGTGAAGCTTGCCCCAAAACACCCGAAGGCAAAGAAGGTGTTTGCTCTCTTATTAAAGATTGTCCTCAAGTATTTCCACAACTGACTGATTTCGAAGTATACAAGTCTTACTCCTGTGTCCTGCAAAAAGAGTAAGTTACTTTAGCATTTTTAAAGTGTTGTATAATATGTATTCTGGTAAGCGTATTGTTTATGTTATAAAAAAAAGTGTTAAAAGGGTTAAAAATATTTTCGCTGAAAAGGAAAACAATTTTTAAAGAATATAGTCAACTTCTCACTTATCATTTTCCTCACAAGAACCATAATTTTTAACTTCAGAACAATTATCATTCTTCTAAGGAAGCTGATGATTCAACGAAACATGTTCAGTCAACTATATTCCATAAAAATTTAAAATTATATTATTGAACATGAATTACTGTCCAATTGTATAAACAATTAAACATTTATAATTGTTACTTTGCTAATATATACATTTTTTTCAGATATGCCGGAGTATGTTGTCCAAAAAAAGCGGAAGTCGCTGCTTAAGATTGTTGTTGTTTCGTAATTAAAAATTGTTGAAAGTTATATTTTTGTAAGTCTAAGGAAATTTTTTAAACAATTAAATGATTTTTTCAGTTTGTTATCTGTATTTAAAAAACCTTTTACCATTGTATATTGTATTAAAAAAAAACAAGAAACAGACTCCACAAGGCGAATAGACAATTTAATTGATGGAAAGGTGGAAAAGAAGCATATGATGATTATGATGAAACTGGAAAAACAAGAAAAACAAAGCAGGATTGATACAACAGTAAACTTTAAAATAAGTTGTTGAAAAAACATACGTGAGGAAAACAGACCAGATTGAAACCAAAATGAACCATTACAATATCAGTGTCCGACGACTAAGTGAAACTAGATGGAACGGGACAGGTAAAAGCAATGTTAACAATATTATTAAAATATTGTAGTCTGAAAATTTTGATAAACAAGCCAATAAAGCGAGTGAAATAGCCATTATATTATACAGAGAAACCTAGAAATCACTAATAAGTTGTAGATGTTGAACAGACTAATTTGATGAACATGAAGAGTTAGATTTTATTCACCCACCGATGTATAATCTATTTTATAAAAAAAATAGAGACGTTAATTCAACATATATTGGGAAAAGACACCAGTACCTGCTTAGAAGAGTTGTTGCACACAAACATAGTGTACAGACCAATGGATTAAACCCAACAGCCCTAGCCAAACATGTTCTCGAAAATAGACATTTTCCTGATTTTGAAAATGTACAGATTTTGAAAAAAGAACAAGATTACAACAAAAGGTGCATATTGCAGATGATTCACATAAAAAAAGATCCAAATTCTGTCAATAATAATACTGACATTAAAGATCTTTCTAATATGTATCATAACTTAATAAATTGAGTTGATTTTAAATGCACTATGGAAGATATTTGGAAATGCGCATATCAATATGTAAGAAAAATGTATAAAAAGGGTGAATTTCCAACCCAAGGCAGTCTAGTCTTGCTCCGGCTTCCATATATGGTCTCATATGCCCTGGGACCCTCCTTCACGGGGCTAAGCTACCCACTCCTCTATAGACTCTTTTGTTGGATTAAACCTTTTTACTACCAAACTGTGTTTTATTGTAAAAAATTACCTAACTCACCAAATTGGGACAGAAACGCAGAGAAAACTTCGATTGGGCTGGCCAAAGCCCCCTGCAGAGCATCTAGGGAGCAGATATGTCTTGCCAAAACCCCAATCTCTTTATGGTGACATGAATATTACAAAACATTACTATATGACTAAGAATATTTACATTCCACTAGTGCATCAATTTAATGTTACAAACCTTCCAATCGATGAGAACCACTCTACAAGGAAACAAAACCAAATGCAGAAACTCTGCTCGTTATGATCAAAATATAAAGCAGGTTTACCAGCTACTAAAATGAAAAGAATACTTAAGAGGTCAGGGCTAGAAGACCTAATTGATTAGATATACTCTAGAACCAACACTAGATTGTGTCCAAAACAATTTGAACTCAATAAAAAATTAAAAACCAAAAAAAAACATACTGAATAGTATTAATTATAACATGGTCGTAATGATAAGGCATATTTAGAGCTACCGCTTAAATGGTTGTCTAGACACTACCAGAATTTTATTACAAAATTGCAGAGAACCAAATTGATATAAACACATATAATCTGTGCAGTTGATAGTTAAACTTGAATATTCGTAGCACAAAAATGTAAGTTCTAACTTTATAAATTGCAACTTTATATATACATAATTTACCTTAATTTAAAATTAGACATATTGTATGTAATACATGACACTCTGGCGACCGAGTGTCTGCCGGAATAAGCAGTCCCCACTTGTTGACCAACTTCGGTTGGTATGCAAGTGAAAGGGCACTCTTTTGTCCAAGTGTCAAGAAATTGGCACTAAAGGCGGAGGAACTATTTACTAGTCAACGGCATAAGGATGTAGAAGGCAAGGAGAAACCACTACATTAAAGATCCATCATGGATATCTCTAGTACGATCATCATGACTGTACAACAAATAGCCTCGTCAACCACTGATCATGGGAATCGGAGACCAGGATCCGGCATGGGAGGTATATCACAAGAAGACCACAGGGCCTCCCGGGTCGTCAACCAGCAAAATCCCTGTGAAGTAGTAAATACCACTCTTAAAAAAAATAGGAAAACACCCAAGAGAGTATTAAAAATTGGTACATGGAATGTTAGAAGTATGTATGATCCAGGCAAAATGCATAATACAATACAAGAAATGCAAAGATTAAATGTCGACATTCTAGGCATTAGTGAGGCAAGGTGGCCAAATTCTGGCAGTTTTTCGACAACAAATGGCATGGTATATTACTCCGGAAACAGTAGTACTCAACACAGACACGGCGTAGCAGTTTTCGTATCTAAGTCTATGATGCAGTCGGTCATTAATTTTACTCCAGTATCAGATCGGCTCTTATTTCTCCAACTACAAACAAACACAAGTAAACTAAATATCATACAGATCTATGCACCTACTGCAGATAAATCCGAGGACGAAATTGAACAATTCTACGAAGAAATCAATAAAGTATTAAAATCGACGAAACCACGAGACATCACCGTAATTCTAGGTGATTTTAACTCAAAAATTGGCAAAGGAAAAAGTGGCAAACATGTAGGAGAATACGGACTCGGTAAAAGAAATGAACGAGGTGACAGACTACTTCAATTCTGCCAGGAGAATAACATGATTGTATCTAATACATTCTTCAACTTACCAAAGAGAAGACTCTATACGTGGAAATCACCCCAGGACAATGGCGAAAGAATAATTCGAAACCAGATTGATTTTTTACTGATAAACGAACGATACAGAAACTCCTTAAAATCCGTTAAAGCTTACCCAGGCGCAGATGTCTTTTCAGACCATAACCCTCTAATAGCGCAAATGAATATTAAACTAAAAAGATTGGAGCAGAAAAGAAGAACAAATCAGATAGACGTCAGTCAATTATGTAACCTGGAGGTAAAGGAGAAACTGCAAAAATGTATTAATAATAATTTGAAAATACTTCATGAAAAGGAAACATCCCAGCCAACGAACAACATAGATAAAAAATGGCAAAACGTAAAAATGGCAATAACAGGCCCTGCGAAGAAAATTTTGACTAAAGAAAAACCAAAAATAAAGCAAAGTTGGATGACTGATAAGATCCTTCTTCTCATGGACAACCGGAGAATAATGAAAGGAAAAAACGAACAAAGGTATAAACAACTACAGAAAGAAATTAAAATAGAAATCAGAATAGCAAAAGAAGATTTTTATAAAAGAAAATGTGAAGAAATAGAGCAATTGCAGGCAAAACATGATATTTTTAATGTACATAAAAAAGTGAAAGAACTTGCAGGTACACAAAAACGTAAGCAGCCAAATACCCTGTATAATGTCAACGGAAACATAATAACAGAACTAGAAGAACAGTTGAAGACATGGAAAAACTATATTGAAGAACTCTTTGCAGATGATAGACAGCAATCTGAGCTAAGTAACATACAAGGAGACGAAGGTCCAGAAATAACGGAAGAGGAAGTAATGTACGCACTAAAAAGAATGAAAAATGGTAAAGCCCCAGGTCCAGATGAAATACCAACGGAAATCCTTAAACTAATAGAAAAAGACTCGATTCGCATTTTAGTTGAACTTTTCAATAGCATTTATACATCAGGAAAAATACCACAAGAATGGCTTTTATCCACCTTTGTTATTATACCAAAAAAGATAAATGCCAAACAATGTAGTGATTACCGTACAATCAGTCTGATGAGCCATGTACTGAAAATATTCCTGAAAATTATACACTCTAGAGTACACACAAAACTGGAACTGGACATCAATAATACCCAGTTTGGATTCCGAAATGGACTCGGAACAAGAGAGGCGTTGTTTGCACTGAACGTTATGTCTCAAAGATGTCTTGACATAAATCAAGATGTATTCATGTGTTTCATAGATTACAACAAGGCCTTTGATAAAGTGCGGCATGATCACCTAATCAGACTCCTGACAGAAAAGAATTTAGATAAACGAGACATCCGACTAATAGCAAATATGTACTACAATCAGAAAGCAGTAGTGAGAGTAGAGAATAATACCACTGAAGAAATTGAAATAAAGCGAGGTGTGAGACAAGGGTGTATACTGTCACCAACCCTGTTTAATCTCTATTCCGAAGACGTAATGAATAGAACACTCTCTGAGCAATCCGTAGGTATTAAAATAAATGGTGTTAGATTAAACAATCTGAGATTTGCCGACGACACCGTTCTGATCGCAGAAACACTTGAAGAGCTACAGACATTGGTGAATAAGATAGCAGACTACAGCGAAGAATATGGACTATCTTTGAACATAAAGAAAACGAAATTTATGGTAATATCGAAATCAACACAAAATGTCCAAAATTTATATTTACACAATGAAATTATCGATCGAGTTAGCAAATACAAATATTTAGGCACTTTTATAAATGAAGACAACGATAGCTCAGCGGAAATCAAAATAAGAATAGAAAAAGCCAGATCCATATTCACTAAAATGAAGAGAGTGTTCTGCGGAAGAGATTTGAGCCTTGAAATGAAACTTCGCCTGATGAGATGTTACGTACTTTCTGTGCTGTTTTACGGAATGGAGTCATGGACGTTAAAAAAGATTGATACCAAAAAATTAGAGGCATTTGAACTGTGGATGTATCGCAGAATCCTGAGAATATCATGGACCGAGAGAGTCACAAATGTCGAGGTCTTGAGAAGAATGAACAAAGAAAAGGAAGTCATATTTACAATCAAAAAACGAAAACTGCAATACTTGGGCCACATTACAAGAGGCGAAAGATATGAACTGCTTCGAATAATTATGCAAGGGAAAATAGCAGGAAAAAGGTCCATAGGAAGAAGACGAAACTCCTGGCTAAAGAATCTACGGGAATGGTATAGTTGTAGCAACAACGAATTGTTTCGGTCAGCAGTTTCGAAAATACGTATAGCCCTGATGATCGCCAACCTTCGGAACGAAGATGGCACTTGAAGAAGAAGAAGATGTAATATGTGAGTGTTAATATGTCAAACATCTACAAAAAATTCTTATATTTCAGGAAGGTAAAGTTTATTGTATTATCATTTTTGGTAATATCAATAAGGGAAGCATTTTGCGCACTAGCAGATGAAAGTTTTATTGTATCGTCAACAGAACAACCAAACAACAAATTCAAGGAAGGGGAGGTAGCTATAAAAAAATTATACATTTTTTAGATACCAAAAATGAGTTTAGTGTCATTTATTGAGCATCGTATGTTTATACAATTCTGGGAGACGAATAAATTCATTCGTCATCTCTTTTACTGAATTAAATTGCAATAGGTAAAGAAATTATAAATAAGACTTACTCACAATCAATTTAATTTAACTATCAGACGACCGGTTTCGCTTTCTACAATATGCAAAGCATCTTCAGGTCTCGATACAAAGTTAAATAAATGCTGAAATGATAAAAACCCAAATTAGGGTGTTGTCTAATAAAGATAAACAAAGTAGATGTTGGAAATTACAATAATTATGCCAATATTACATGTCTGTGGTTTTATTTCAAAAAGGGTAAGTTGAATAAAAAGAAAAGTTTTAAAAGTTTAAACAGACAAGTCAAGTTTTAAACTTTTAAAACTTCTTTACCTTTTTATTCAACTTACACTTTTTGAAATAAAACCACATACATGTAATATTAGTGTAATTATTGTAATTTCCAACATCTACTTTGTTTATCTTTTTTAGACAACACCCTAATATGGGTTTTTATCATTTCAGCATTTATTTAACTTTGTATCGAGACCTGAAGATGCTTTGCATATTGTAGAAAGCGAAACCGGCCGTCTGATAGTTAAATTAAATTGATTGTGAGTAAGTCTTATTTATTATTTCTTTACCTATTTGAAATTGACTCACAGAAGCAACACATTCATGATTTGAATTAAATTGGTTTAAATAAAGTATTATATTTTGTCGATACGCAGATATTGTAAGTCGTACTTTATGAGTATTTCCTTTGTTTCACATATTGGTCATGTTCGTGTTATAATATTTGGGAAAATAAACCAGGTTATATGTACAGGGTAAGTTTTTAGGTCAACAATTCCATTATGGTACAGAATATGCAAAGAAGTTATTTGGAAATAATGTAGGCAATGATCTTCTCTAGGCTTGAATGATCTGCCGAATTCTATGGGTGATGAAAAACTACGTGGTAACGCTAACATACAACTTTCTAAATAGTACACTCTCTATGTTTTTCCATATTTAGATTTATATCATAATCTCTGCTTTTACAATACAAAGTTTGACACTACTATAAAGGAAAGTTAACGAGTTGTGGTCTTTTTATTTCAAAATCGTTATAAAATAAACATTCTATATATAAAGAAGGAATACACAAATAATTACAGTGAATCTTCTCTATAATGGACAACAACAGGAAAAATATTTGTCCATTGTTTAGAGTTATCGCTTAATCAATTGAAATAAAAAAGAGGTGTCTACTTGCTTGATCTTTAATTATAAATAAAATATTAGCGTAAAAAAGATAATAGAGTTATCTATATAAATAGAGTTAGAAAGAGTCCACAATAATACCTACTTGGGTGCAAACGTTAACGATAACTGGGATATAAATAAAGAAATAAGAATACGCATTGAAAAGGCCAGACCTAAAATCAGATTAATACGCTGCTACATATTCTCCACATTGCAGTATGGTATGGAGAGCTGGACCCTTACAGAGACATTAATGAAAAAATTAAAGGCCTTTGAGATGTGGATTTATCGACGAGTATTGCGGATAAGTTGGGTTGATCGAATAAGAAATGAAATAGTTTTACATCGAATGAAAAAGAGCACAGGAATAACAAAAACGATAAAAATTCGGAAGTTACAATATTTCGGTCATGTAATGAGACATCCCGAGAGGTATAACCTTCTACACCTCATAATACAGGGTAAGATCGACGGAAGGAGAGGCCCAGGCCGACGAAGAACATCCTGACTACGAAATCTCCGAGAATGGTACCAAGAAACCACCTTTAATTTATTTATAGTCGCCGTAAATAAGGTTATTATTGCCAATATGATCGCCAACGATCGATAATCGGACAGGGCACTAAAAGAAGAAGAAAAATGATAGGTATTTGAGGTAATGGATTTTGGGAACAGCTATGACCTTGAACATTTTACATAAACTTGTGTACTAAATAGGCATAATGCATAGCTCTTGTTAAAATCCAATACATTAATAATATAATTACATACCTTCCATTCTAAAATATTGTAAAAGACTTTAAAGAGTCTGGGTAAGAAAAAAGATTTGGTTATATTCTTTGTGGCATTTTCAAGGTCATAGCTGTTCCCAAAATCCATTAACTCTACTTCATTATAGAACTTACTCTTGCACCACCTTTATATATGAAAAATAATTCTCTCTTAATTCTCTTGAAACATAAAATAAATCTCTTAGTCAGGTAAGCATCATTTGAATTACTTACAGTTGTAGTAAGTTCTAGTTCATTGTCACTTTCATTGTCGAAAACATTGGACATTTTTATCTTTTGTCAATGTCAATATATTGCAAATTATATAACCAGAAGTCCATTTTGACTAGTATCATTATACAAACTATGTTTCCCAAATATCTTCACGAAAGTTTTTTCTTTCCCCCGCTTAGCGTTAAAGTCGAATATAACAGCATCGGGTTTTTGAATTTTATCACATATTTTCTGAAGTTCTCCATAGAATATTTCAATCTCGTCTTCATCAGCCTCTTCCGTCGGTGCATGACAAATTGGCTACACAAATTTGACAGAAAAATGCAACTTCAAAAAAGAAAAATTCTCTTATTCCTACACAATGCAACATCCCCTCCGGATATTCAGTTATCCAACACATCGATAATATTTTTGCCATCTAATACTACAGCACATTGTCAACCATTAAACAAACAAATAATTAAAAATTTTAAATCCCTGTATAAAAAGTTTTTGATGAGAAGCATGTTATCATCTTTTTATATCATATTTTATGTCATATTTTTCTTTTCTTGGTAAATAAGTTTTGCGTTTTTACCCCCCTGTGAAGGTTGTTTTAAGAGAAAGCCTGAGGGTAAAAGTGATAAACTTTTTTGCACCTTCTTTTGGGTCCCAAAATGAATATGCTTCGCAAAATTCAACATACAAAATTAATATTCTCAGCAAAATTCAGCTTGTATGACTTTTAGAGGTGCAGTGGCATTTTCGCCTCTAACGACAATGGGTAATGAACAACCAACGGTACGACCTACTTCGGACCATCCCTCAAAGTAAGGTGCATGAAAAAAGAGGTACAAAAAGTAAAGTCAAAATAGCCATGTTAGTTTCCAACATCGTTTGATACATTTCCGCGTCTGTTACAAAAATTTCAACTGCCAAAATGATGTCAGACCAGTCGACAGATCCAAGGCGGAACACGGAGGATAGCAAAGATATTGGGGAAAACCCTTAGTGAGCGGAAGATAGTTAAGACTTTGGCCACATCACCTTTAATGTCAACTATAGTTGACGATACATCAGGAGGAAATAATTCCAGAGCACAGTCTACATATATGTACCGAATTATATACTCAAAAATAATTTACTGTATAAAATCACTACAAAATACTGTTCTTCAAGGCCAGCACCCCTTTATTAGAAGTTGCTTTTTTTATTTTAGACTAAAGAACTTGATGAAGCTAACCTTGTTCCAGTGATTTATGAATTAAACGTGCATTCCAATGTAACCAATCGTTACGCTAAAACTTTGATAACAAATAGGGTAAAAAACCCAGCTAAGTCAGCAAAGGAAACTACTTTTTCTGTTGTTCTACCTGAAAAAGCATTTATATCAGAATTTGTAATGGAAATTGGCTGGAACAAATACAGAGCTTACGTCAAGGAAAAAGAGGAGGCTAAGAAAATATATACCAAGGTAAGTAGATCAAGAGTAAACACACTCTCACACATACACACATCTTTTTGTAAGTAGCAGGTTAGCGTTTTTCGTGTCGTATCAGTAGATTCTTGCAACAATCATCATCATCCAGCCTCAAGAGTCCACTGCTGGACATAGGCCTCTTCCTCATGTTTCCAACCCCGTCTATCTTGCGCCGCTCTTATCCAGTTTTTATTGGGTCTTCTTAAATCGTCAGTCCATCTTGTAGGTCGTCGACCGAAGCTTCTCTTGTCTTCCCTTGGCCTCCATTCCAATAACCTCTTTGTCCATCACCCATCTGTAATTCTGTCATCCTGATGTCTTCGTTTGTTATTCTGTCTCGGAGAGTTATTCCTAACATGGACCGCTCCATTCTTCTCTGCGTGACTCTCAGTTTGGTAGCTGCTGCTTTTGTTAAGGTAAGTGTTTCTGCTCTGTACATCAAGACTGGGAGGACGCACTGATCAAATACCTTTCTCTTTAGGCATGTGGGCAGCTCACTTTTAAAAGTTTCTCTCAGTTTTCCAAATGCTGCCCACCCAAGGCCGACTCTTCTCTTCAGTTCATGAGTCTTGCAACAATACCTTTTAATTTTTTTTTTACTTCCTTAACTTACTATGCTTTGGGTTTTGTATTCCTGTCTCATTCGAACGTTTTTTTTATTGATTTTCTGTTTCCTAATACAAGTCGTAAAATTTAAATGTATACATTACATCTTGTTAAAATTTTCGTTATTTTATCAAATTTGATTTCACCCTGTAAATCTAGTTTAGTTTCTGTAAGATTTTTTAACAAAATTATTTTTGGTTGCTAATGCTCCATAACAAAACAATTATTAGATTATGATAAACCTTCAACAAACCTTTTTATAAATTTACCGCTTATATGCTATAACATAATTTCCCGTAAGAACTATTCACTTCGCTGTTGTCGGTGACTTTTGTTTGCAAATATAGCAAATAATCCCACTAAGAACGTGCCGAAAATATGGAGTTATTTGGGTAAATTTCAGTTCCGTCACGCTCTGTTTGAGAACTAATAGTTCCGTGTAATATTTATCACACCAAAATAAGGATATCTCCCTTTTTAAATAGATTCTTTATAAAAAGGAATATGTTACGATTTTGTGTAATTTTCCACTAAGAAGTAGGTAGTTAAATTCGCCAGGTGTATTTTTGAGACCCCTATAAAAGGGTGTAACAATTTTTTTATTATTAAAATATTAATTATTTTTAATTTCTTTTATCCCCGTGAGATACGCCGATGATTAGGAATTCCCGTGTTTACGATAAGAAAATAATATTGGATCTACTAAATTATAATGGACTTCCCTAATTACTAAAGGTAGTTAATCCTTTCCATCTTAATACTCAGTATGAAAAGATCTAATGCTTTTGGGTATGCAGGTGCTTTTACATAAATTGATAACTTTCGCCGAAAACCCGTATCTTTTGACAATAACTTAATCCCAAGTATTGTCTGCTTCTCATGTCCAATTGTTGGTACCGGTAACTCAAAACTTTCGGAATTTTTACTTCCTCAGAATTACCTACAACTGTCCGATGATTTTAAGTGGGGGATATACCTTCTTCTTCTTTTTTCTTGGATAGTTGGTGAAATTTTTAGTGGAACCAACTTACTTCTCGGTGGGCTCTCGTTGAGCACAGGTCAATTATCTCGTGAGACTTCTCGGTGGCCTCTCGTTGAGTGTGGTCGCTTGTCTGAAATTATCGTCTTTGTGAATTATTTTCTAAGTGTGTATATACTCTATATTTCAGTTTTCTTGTCTTAGACTATATCAAGTTATATATAGTTCTACACTACCTTTAATGGTACCTAATTAAATTCAGTGTTGAATACCAGTACAGTATATTAAATTCAGTGAATTAAGCTGTCGTCATCAGGAATTATGTAAGTTACCATAATCTTTATCTGCAAATTATCTGGGCGACTAATATGGTATGGTATCATACCACCTGCCATTATCTGGACGTATCACCCATCATTTATCCATATCTTCATCTGTAGATTGCCGATTTTTATATTTAATTTAAAGAACAATTCAAGAACTTTCCATAAATAATAACTATGAACATCTCAGTTTAGCATTAATTAATAGTGCGAGATAGTAACCCACCTAGCCAAGTGCGGTTTGGCTAGTTAATGTTTTCAACTCTGTAACCTGTTTGTTTTTTTGTAAATTTAGAGTTAAGAAATTTTTGCTATCTCTTGTATTTGCTATAATTTTTGCTCATTATCTTTCCTATAATATCTCGAGATACGCCAAACTATATTTGTATATGATTGCCTTATATATCTTGGTAAAGGTATTTTTTTATTATATTATTGCTTAATTTTATACATATATAACATCATTTCATAGTTGTGTATTTTTATTACTTGTGTTGCATTTAGCAGCATCATAATTTTGTGTTTAATATATTGTTAATGTTTTATGCATGTATTTTATTTGTCGGCTCCTAACAAGTTCTCTGATAAAATAGTAGCTCTAAATATTTGCTTAGTATATTAATTTATCACTATACCTTTAACCAGTAGAAAGATCAGGCTGATTAAGTTTCGTAGGTAAGTAAGTGTAATACCTAATATATTTATTATTTGTTTATATATTATGTTGACCAAATTTATTTGATAATTAACTGTTGGTATCTTTCCTTGGGTTTGATCTATGATCTCTGAAGGATATATTTCCTTATCTCTTTTCTTTTCTAAGATTTCTTAATGTTCTCCTTAACCCCAAAAAATTAAGTGGCGCCCTGTTTCTATCTGCTCTTATCTTTGGTAATTTTACCGATCTATCTTTTTGTTTATTTCTATATCTTTTCTAATATCTCTTATCCTATCTTTACTTATTTCGTCCGTTGAACCCAATCCCGGTTCCAAAACCGGGAACCGGGTATTTTCGAACCCACGACTCGGACTCGCTCTCCACCAACCATCTGGCTACCGTCCGCAGTGTCTCCATTGGTTATCTTTCTAGCACCATCCAAAAAAGATTTCCGAGGTTACAAGGGTAAGGTATTTTTGATACGTTTCGTATTTCTGTATATTTTTGTCTTTTGTATTATCTGTTCATTTCACTTTTTTTTTATCGAAATAGGGTCCATGCATAATCGAAGTATAATACAAGCATACTCAAGTATAGTTCCAATGTTTATCCAAGCATAATATCTTTCTTTATCTCAAGTAAGCTAAAAACGTAATCCCAGTTTGTCTCACGTTTAACCGAGATGATCAATCAAGTTTTCCCTCAGATAAGTAGGGAGCCCCGTGTATTCCAAAGTATATCTACAGCTTAAAGTTGTGAGTACTTTTTCTTATACGCTTTGTCAGCATTGTATGATTGGTAAAAAAAATCACGTGTGCTGTGAAATGCACTGGTACAGTTTCAGAAAAACTCGAAGTGAAAAAAGTGTCGCCAAGGATGATGTCTACCTTGCTATTCAATATAGTTCTAGAAAAGATTATAAGGATTAGTCAGATAACTAGGTCCGGTACTCTTTTCTACAAAGAGCATCAATGTTTGGCGTACACTGATGATGTGATTTTTATTGCAAGAAATGGAAAAGTAATTGGCAAGTATAGCAAAAAAACTAATTCAGGAAAGCTCTAAAATGGGACTGAAAGTTAATATTAATAAATCCAAGTGCGTGAAAGTCTTGAGGAAAAAGAAAAAAATACCAGGGGCTCCATAAAATTAGAGGTAGACAATGAATCAGCTGTAGAATTCGAGAAGGTGGACAAATATAGGTACTATTATTGACCAGACATGTAAGAAAGAAACTAAAATCAACCTGAGACTGGCTAAAAGCAACATATGTGCTGGAGCTACAAACAAAATAATAAGACCAAAGATATATCTCATAATACAAAAATAAGAGTACCTATACAAAACTATAATTAAACCCACAATGCTGTATACTGCCGAGATTATAATAAGATTATTTAATAATAGAATAAGATTCTATTATTAAATTTGCTCTTCTGCTTGTAGTTTTTATTTCAGTTACTTCATACTAAATATAACGGTCTTTTATCTAGATTAATATCTTTTGGTACTTACATCACAACTACAATCCACAGTAAATTCAGATCTTATAATTTATCTGCCTCCAAGCAAATCTATGTTCTTCAAAATATAGTCTACTTCAAAACCGCCAATCCAAGACGAGGTCCTTAATGTCTCCTGTTTTCTAAGGATATTTGGTAGAGTTTCATAACCGTTCACACTTTTACTAGTCTTTCCATAGAAGCTGCTGTTCTTAATAAAGCTGTATATTTATGTATCCATCATTAGGGTGCATTTCTTGTCGTTTATAATAGCTCATATTTTTAGGCAGTAGCAAGTGGTCAAAGTGCAGCTCATGTAGCTGTAAATACAAGAGATTCCAATACATTTGTAGTTTCCGCCAACGTTGGACCTGAAGAAAAAGCAACATTCTATTTGACATACGAAGAACTTTTGGAAAGAAAAAATGGCCAATACGATTTGGTTCTTAATATACGTCCTGGACAAGTAGTTGACCATCTAAACGTTCAAGTAAGAAGATTTTATTCGCTTTTTACTTTAAAATCAATAACATAATCTATTTTAACGCAGGATGTCTTTCACCGACATTACCTTAAGTCTAACACCGTTCCATCAAGGGTCTAGCCGGTTAAGGTAGTGAAAAATCATCCCCAGCGATATTTAAAAATTAAAAAACCATGTTGTTCTATATCAAAAAGTATTCGACCAAAAACATTTTTAGATCCCTAGAGCCAAACATAAAAAAAACATGTTTTTTGGTTTTTTTTTGGCGATATATTCGATTCTAATCATGGTAGAAACTCATTCTTTTTATTAGTTTGTAAGATATTTTGTTGTCTACATTGTGGTATTTTTTACAAGATTGATGGCAAAAGCTTTCAAAAACATGACTTAAAAATTACAATTTTTAAAAGTTTTTGAAATTTTTAAAATTTGCTTAAAAAACTGTCTCGAACAAAAAATTTCTTTATAAAATTTCTGATCGCCAAATTTAAATTTTTTAACGCTTTTGAAATTTTTAAAATTTTATTTAAAAAAACTGTCCCAAACGCCAATCCAAATATATAGATAGATAGATAGATAGGTTTATTGACAATTTTTACATAGTAAACACTACATGTCATGTCACAATAAAAATAATTTACTTTTGTATACTAAGAACTAAGAAATAATACAAGAACATATAATAAAACATATACAGTGAAAATTAGATATATAAAATTATAACAAATAAGAAAGAAACATTTCAGTAAGGCGTAATATAGTTTTCATTAAAAACGACCACACTAGGAGCTCAAACAAACAAATTCCTGTATACTATAGAAACAGTGTTCCAGCAGGAAGTGTTTTGCTAGTTTATAAAATTGTTTAGAATTCATTGCCTTAATATCAATATTTTTGTTTAAGTTTAAAAAACAATTATACAGATTATAATCTATTGTATTAAGTTGTGTAACACACAATCTGGAATATGGTATAATGATATGACTTTTATTTCTTGTATTGTAATGATGTTGATCAGCATGTGATTTTACATCTTTTATATTATTATGAATAGTTAACAAAGTTTCAAATATATATATTGAAGGTAAAGGAAGAATGCCATACTTCTTAAATAAGGGTTTACAGCTGGCGCGATATTCTGCCGAGTCAATAATTCGGATTGCTGCTTTTTGAAAAGTGAAAACTTTATATGCATAGGACGAGTTTCCCCAAAGAAGTATGCAATATGTCAGGATACTATGAACCATTCCAAAATAAACTGACCTAAGAATATCTCGACTCACAGAAGTAGCCAATCTGCGCATAGCAAAAATCTGTGAGGCGAGCCCCCTACACAATCGTTCAATATGGTGCGACCAGTTCAACCTTGTATCCATAGTAACACCTAGTAACTTTACTGGTTCAGATGGTGTAACCCATCTATCAGAACTAAATACGATTTTCTGGGTTTTCTGCTCGTTTAACTTAAGTTTGTTACAGTTAAACCAGGATTTAGATTTTTCTAATATATCCTGACTGTAATCAGTTTTACCTCTATATAATAAGGTTGTGTCATCTGCAAAATGAACACAGTTGGTGTTATCCAATGCACTTGGTAAATCATTTATATATATCAAGAATAGTAGAGGACCCAAAACTGATCCTTGTGGTACTCCGGTTGAAACTGGTAAAGGATCAGATTCTTGATTATTAAATGCAACAATCTGTGTTCTTCCTGTAAGATAGGATTTTAAAAGGTCATGTATGGTGCCCCTTATTCCATAGTACTCCAATTTTATCAATAGTGTTTGAATATCTACACAATCAAAAGCTTTTGTAAGGTCACACATTAAACCATTAGTAGGTTCACCTGCATCAAAACCGTGAACAATATGTTCTATTACTTCTAATAAAGCTTTAGTTGTTGAGTATTTTTTTCTAAAACCAAATTGAGAGCTAGATATAATTGATTTGTTATCCAAATAATTTGATATACGATCTTTAATTAAGATTTCAAAAATTTTACTTATTGTTGGTACTATGGTAATAGGTCTGTAATTGTCAGGAGCATTTTTATTTCCTTTTTTATGAAGTGGAATTACTTTTGATATTTTGAATACATCAGGCCAGTAACCCTCGTTAATGCATTTGTTAAATATTATTGTGAGTGGTTCAACAACTGTATCAAGCGATTCCTTAATAATTTTACTGTTAAAACCATAGTAGTCAACACATGAGGAATTTTTTAATTTGTATATGCATTCTTTCACATCAGATGCTACTATTGGAGACATAAAGAACGAACTTGACCTTCTAGGTAGCCTGCTAAGATAGTAGTTTATGTCATGCTCAGAGTCTCCTATTGATTTCGATATAATATCTGCTATATTCGTAAAGTATTGGTTAATTTCTTCTGGTGTTAAGTTCAGATTAGACGTTGTATGTTCCTTATAGGTTTCTTTTTTAACAATACTCCATATTGTCTTACTTTTGTTGGTGGATTTGTTAATTATGTTAGCATAAGCCGTACGTTTTTCAGCTTTTATTGCTTGCTTATATTTTTTTCGTATTTGACAATATTTAATCCAATTGTCAATAGTACGTGTTTTTCTATATGTTGCTTTACAATCGTAGAGTTGTTTTCTTAAATCTCGAAGTTTCTGATTAAACCAATGAATAGCACTTTTTCTGCTATTCATGTTTTTTAAAGGAAAACAAATGTTGTATTCTTCACACATATATTTCATAAACAACTCTGTCATGTTGTTTGAATTACATTGGATATCGTCAAACACAGTCCAATCTTTGGAGTTAATTTTTTCCACAAAATTCTTAATATTTTTTTCATTAATTAATCTTTTTTTAGTCTTTTCTATAATTGTAGACACATTTTTTAAACCACTCACAATAGCAAATATACCCAAATGATCAGATATTACAGGATCGTAGACACCTGTATTTAAATTTTGTTCATTAATATTAGTAAATATATTATCAAGGCAAGAGCTTGAAGTAAGTGACACTCTTGTGGGCGCTTTTATGAAATGTTTTAAACCGTACATGGTTAAGAAATTTCGTATTTCACAAACATGCCCTGTGTTTACTTCCATATTTATGTTAATGTCACCAAGTATCATTATATTTTCATATTTTTTAAAGGCGAAATCAATTAAAGCGTATAACTTAGCTTTGAAAACAGTAATATCCCCATTACAGGATCGATAAAGTGCAATTATCAGAAAACGATTATTTTTAATTTCAACACCACAGAATTCAGCATTCAATGGATCACAAAATTTGTTTAAATCAACAGGCTCAAGTTGAATATGTTTAGAACCATAGATAGCTACACCTCCATGTAGTCTGCTTTCTCTACAATATGAAGTGACAAGTTGAAAATGGTCCAAGTTTATTCTTTGTAAATTATCAGAATTTAACCAGTGTTCCGAAACACAAAAAATGTCATACTTATTATCTTTAAAAAGCAGAGCACGTTTCTACAGTAATACTGTAGTTATTATAGTTATTGTTTATGCATGAAGGAACGAAAAAATTCATTAATATATATACCCTCAGGCCATAGTTCACAATTTAAAAGTCTTTGAGATGATGCCTCAGGAACTGCAATTTTAAATGAAGCATAACTTCTTGGATATCTCGAGTTTAATTGGTTAACCTCAATATTTTCATCATATATTTCATCATATATATATATATATAATATATATATATATATATATATATAATATATTCTTCATGATTTTTTTCAGATTTTTATAGGTGGGCATAAAAGCGAAAAATATTTTAAAGTCTAGCCTGGTAAAATTTCCCCCGCCTTATTTCAAAAATGAAAATACCATGTTTTGATGAAAATACCGAGAAAAAACCGAAATAAAACATCTAGCAATAGAGTAACATATCAAAGGAAAAACGGAGAAGTACGCAATCAAATAAAAGAAGCAAAAAACAATTTCTGTGAACAAAAATGTCTCCAAGTTGCAAAAATTTAATTAGTAGTTCTCAGACTATGGAAGCATGGAAAACTATCACCAATCTAAATAAAAACACCCATAATTCCTGAAGCAACTTAATTCCTATAAAAAAGTGGAAAAGTCGCTATAAAAATTTACTCCATATGTCCAGATTGTAATATATGGGAGAGGAATACAGTACGGAGGGACAAACAAATAGTAACATAATTACTACTAACAACGAGGTCCGTACTGCGTTAATTAAAATGAAAAACGGGCGATCTTCAGGGCCTGGCAATGTAGCTGTAGAGTTACTTAAAGCAGAAGGTACACTCTTAATAGAACGAATAACTTTTCTAACGAATCAATGCTGCAAACCAATTAAAGTACCATCTAAATGGAAAACCGCTCACCAAGTGTCCATCTTTAAAAGGGTAATCGAAAAAATCCTAACTACTAAAGAGCATTGAGTGTCTCACCTACATTCGGGAAATTGTTTGGAAAGATAATAAATGAAAAAATACAAGTATGACATCTAATTAGCGGCTAAGACCAAAGTGGATTTACGCCTGGTAGATCTTACACTGATAACTTGTTTATACTCAACAACAATTAATAGAAACAAGAATAGCGGTTGGTACCAAAGTACATCTAGCCTTCATTGACCTAGAAAAGCCGTATCATACAGTTCCAAGACTTCAATTGTGGCAAGCTTTACAACAACTCGGCATTAGTCAATACATTTTAGTAATAATCACAGAAGTATACAGGGATAACACTACTTACCTAAAAATCGGAAATAGACTGTCAAAGCCAATAAAAGTAACTAAAGGACTAAAACAAGGATGCAGTATTTCACCCTTACTGTTTAATTTATATATTGAGGTAGCCCTTCAAAATTGGAAACACCACTGCCAGGGAATGGGAATTCCCATACAAAATGACATACTGTTCTCCCTGAAATGACGGATGACCAAGTCGTCCTAGCTCAAGATTCTTATGATCTAGAATTTGTGATAAAGCGTCTATACAGAGAATATGCAAAATGGTGGTTACAAGTCAGCATAAAGAAAACAGAATATTTAGTTACCAATTCAGATGCAAGACAAGCCCTTCTTTGAGCAGTGTTGCCAACCTCATTCCTTTAGATGTTTCTCAAATAAGGTGTTAACCAAAAAAAATTTTACAGGAAAAAAGGAAATAACTACAAACCATTAAGTTTATTTTTGTTATTAGTCTGTTATAGTAGATTGGTAAATACAATGAAAAATATATTCAAATATCCGATTTATTTAAAGATACGAAGAAGATATAACTCTCAAAAAGATCTGCAAATCGGATTATTACACGGCGATTGGCAACATTGTTACGCAAACAACATTGTTGCGAGTTGGATAGTTGAACGATATTTTATACAATGTCTGTGCTCAGGTATGGATTTATTTTTGTCCAAGTTTTATATTGGTCTACTATTTCAAATGCAGTTCAAACAGACATATATTAAATTGTATGATCCGTTTTAAATTCGTTCAATCTGTATGTTTAATATTATTATATGAAACTGAGACTAGGACATTAGGAAAATATAATTTAAAAAGAATCGAGGCCTTCGAACTCTGGTTATACAGCAGAGTATTGAAAATATCATGAACTGATAGAATTACAAATAAAGAAGTACTGGAGAGGGTTGGTATCACCACTATACAAACCAGAAAACTGGAATACCTAGGCCACGTGATGAGGGGACCAAAATATGAAATTTTGAGACTCATAATACAGGGAAAGATTCAAGGAAGAAGATCTGTTGGCCGAAGGCAGAACTCATATTTAAAGAATCTACGTGATTGGTATCAATGCAGATCGATTGATTTGTTTAGAGCAGCAAGTTCTAAAATAAAAATAGCCATTATGATTGCCAACCTCCGTAGGGAGATGGGACTCTAAGAAGACGTTTTCTCAATTAAAAACAAAGAGCCAAACAACTTCCGCCAATGTAGCTGTAGTTCAAGTGAACTTTTTAAAAAAGCAGTGTTAGTTGTATTATTCAGTGATAAGGTTATAAGACTATAAAACTCTTGGTGTTGTTATATTCTATGATACTTGTCTCTATACAATATATACATTTTTTCGTTAGGTTTTATTACAAGATGGATACTTCGTACACTTTTTCGTACCAAAGGACGCAGAAGTCATCCCCAAGCAAGTATATTTCATCTTAGATACAAGTTCCAGTATGTACGGTACCAAACTACAGCAACTTAAAGATGCCATGACCAGTATTTTAGATGAGATCAAACCTGAAGACTCTTTCAGTATTGTAGAATTCAACAGTGAAATATATGTATGGGACATAGAAAATGAGAAATCAATTATTGCTAAGTGGGACAACTACAGAGAGCCATTTGAAAAATTAGCTGTAAGTAATATTTTGTAATAACCACATAGCGTTAAAATTTTTGATTTTCACAGCACAATGTTTGAGTTAAGGAAATTGGTCCGATTTTTTTTTTTTCGGTTAGGTACTTAATTAATGTTGATCCTTTTGCCGTAGTAAATTTGATGTGCATTTTCCCATGCGTGTTTTCATATCGAGATCTGCCAAATTCTCTATTTTTGACGTAAGATTGATGTTCATTTATTCTAACATTTTTAATGATCTTAATGTTTCACCTAAATAAAAGTTTTCTCATTCACAAGGTGTTTTATAAATGCAATCCTATGGTACGCCTTCACTGTTATTAGGTTTGCTTTTAGATAAAGTAGCTCCCAATGTGTTTGTTGTGGTAAGAAACATTAGTAAAGATGTGTATTTTACAATTTGTGGATACATTCTAAAGGAGGTATCCGCACATATCCTTCCTGGCAAAATTTCTAATAAAACCGATTAAATTTCTTAAGATATAATTACGTTAGCTTAGGATGTGGATGAAAACTATGTGGGACGAAGGATACAGCTGTTGATTGAAGCAGAGGTAGAGACAAACCGAGGAGAAGACGAAAGGACTGTGTGGCAGAGACTTGAAGAAGGCAAGGTATGGAGTTTTTGTATATGTTTGGGACGATGTTTTGTTAATGACTTAAGACCATCGTACACATTTAGAAATAGCCTATATATATATATATCTATATATATATATATATATATATATATATATATATATATATATATATACATATATATATATATATATATACATATATATATATATATATATATATATACATATATATATATATATATATATATATATATATATATATATACAGGTATAAATAATTATTATACAGAGTGAAGCAATAATTGTGAAACTTTACGGTGAAAAATTTAATGAGGTTTTTGTTGAACTAGAAATTTGTTTAAAATGTCAATTAAGTAAATGTTCAAAGCGAGTTCCATTGTCTTGTAAACAATAATACAGCCTATTTTCAAATTTTGCACGAACTTTGGCAAATGTTGTTATAGTAATAGCGCGACATGCTTGCGTAGTTCTTTCTCGCAATTTCGCTTTATTAAGTTTTATAAGCAACTAACTTGAGGTAACCCCATAAAAAAAGTCAGCTGATGGTAAGTCTGGTGTCCTCGGTGGCCACTCTTAATAGGACTTCTCCTTCCAATCCATTTATTCGGATAATTAGTATCCAACCAGTGCCTAACTGGAGCTGCATAGTGAGGAACTGCTCTATCTTGTTGGAAGTCATCAACAGAATTAACAAAAACTTCTTTAATTTTTTCATTTAAGCCAAAGTTTCACAATAATTACTTTAACCTATACAATAATTATTATTTATACCATTGGATAGCATTTAGTCTTTTCAATGATGTATCACAAGTAGGGGTTTGTAATTTAAACTATTTTGGTTGTGATGAGTGGGACCCAGGAGTTTGATGGGGGTGAATTCTTTTTCAGGTCATTTTAGTTCCCCCTTACTATCCTAGAAACGGTTTCAAGCATTTTTCGATACCAGCTGTTGTTCGTGAGATATAGCCCATTGCACAAGTTTAACTTAATCATATACTTATATAACAAGCATTGTTATTATTAGCAATAAATTAAAACATTCATTTATTTAGAAACTCAACTTATCAAAACCTATATCAGCAACAAATGAATCAATCACAAAGGCAAAGAAACTTGTAAGCAACATGAAAGCTGGAGGTGGCACTCACATGATTGGTGGATTAGACGCTGGCCTATATCTTGTAAAATCCGAAATAGAAAGAACTAAAGAAAGTGACCATCAGAGAAAGCACCTTTTAATATTCCTAACGGATGGACAACCCAACATAGGTGTACATTCTACAGACAAAATTATTGATGTGGTAGGTATTATATTAATTTGGCCTGGAAAAAAATTTGTTGCATAGATTATTAAAAATTCTCAAGTTCGTTTCTACTTCTTTATTCGTGGCTGCTCTTTTTATTGTTTTTTTTTATTTATCTTAAGGTTTTTTCTTCTTTGATGGATGTGTTCAATAATATAGACTAGCCATTTTTTCTTCCAATGCCTCCTCTTCCTTCTACTTTACCTTTCTAATTAATCGAAAAAACTATTATTTTTCGTATCTCAACAGATATGCCAGAAAACTCGTGGTCCGTGTTTATATCACTGATAATATTTTAATAATGTTAGGTCAAATTAAAATACAACTAAACAACATTATGCAAACTATCACCGGTACCATTAAGTCTACACTCACTTACTAATTAAAACAAAGGTATCGAGGATTACCTAAGTTTTCTTGCAGCCTGTGAAGATACAAACTACTCACTTCACAACAAGTAAAGCAACAAAAAAGCTAAAACAACCACAACAATATTGTCCTGCAATAAGGGACATGCAGGGGAAATTGGATCAAAGATAACAAAGAAAAAACCGCAGTCTTTGCTGAACACTAGTAAAAGTTTTTGAACCAAACGAACCAGATCCCAACGACAATTATGGCGAGATTCATAACATCTTAAAAACCCCGCTTCAACAGGATTTACCGAATAAAAATTTCACGCTTACCGAAATAAGAAAAACAATTAAGAAAAACACAAAACCAAAAACAGACATATTGGAAAATTTCACACAGACTATTCTGACACCAAAACCTGGAAAAAAAAACTAGAAGACCTAAAATTCTATAGAAGTATAAGTTTGCTGCATATTCTATCAAAGATCAAATCTGCAATCGAAAGTCGAAAAACTTCTATTGATAAAATTGATTCCAATCTGAGAAAAAACTAAACTTATCCGGACCACCAATTCGGCTTCAGGTTAAAGCATGTGGCAGTGGAACTGGCAGTCTCCTATGTGCTGGAAAGTAAGTCCTAGCTCTCAGCCTTCCTAGGCATCAGTCAAGCCTTCGGTAAGGTTTGACATGAGAGCCTACTTAAGAAGATAAATTGCTATATCTTTTCTTTTCACCTCTCAAATCCTAGCAGATAGATACTTTCTGGTAAAGCAGCACGATGAATACACTCAGCTCCCCCTTATCAAAGCAGGTGTTCCACAAGAAAGCGTACTAGGACCTATTTTATTCCTGATGTTCACTGCAGACCTCCCATCCAGCAGTAACACAGAAGTTGCTACTTTTGCAGGCGACACCGCAATACTGGCCATGGACTTTAATTCCATAAAATTATCAGAAAATTTGAAATATGAATAAAATAGAAATTTGGCTTAAAAATGGCAAATTAGAGTAAATGAGACCAAGTCAACACATGTAACCTTCTTTTTTCTACCTTCCGCACTCACTTAATCTCGGTATTATCGTATCCAATTGTTCAGTGTCTAAATATTTTTTAAGATGTAAACTCGTTACTGTTCACAATAATTTTACTGTTGTGAATAGTTCGATAAATGACCATACTCTTATATCGTTTCTGGCTATGTTAGGATATAACTGTCTAAACGATATTTAATTATTATGTCATATTTAGGTCACTAAGTTAAATAAAGACATCAATGCTCCATTGTACAGTCTCGCTTTTGGAAATTCTGCCGACATAGAGTTTTTAAAAAAACTCTCCTTGAAAAACAAAGCATTCTCTAGACAAATTTACGAAGCAGCAGACGCAGCCATCCAACTGCAACAATTTTATAGACAAATATCCTCCCCACTTCTATCAGATGTTCATTTTAAATACAATGACGACGCTAGCGAAGTAACAAACACAGGTTTTCCTATTGTCTACGCTGGTGGTGAAATTGTAGTCACTGGACGCTTCTTAGGTAAGGAATTTCATTTATGATCTTATTTTACTATATCAATTCTACTATATCAAAGTAAAGTATTCTAAAATAAATATATATCCAATTGATGAATATACAAATGAACGGATTAGTAAGCTAGGAAGCACAAGCACTTTAATAATATATGTTTTATTCTATGTATATGATTTTTTTTGTATTTAGCTAGCTGAAATGTGTAGCTAGTAGAATGGACCGCAGGAGTGTGACGTCACGACTATCACATTGTCAGTATTACTTTCCAAACAAAAGTTGAAATGTCAAATCTCAAGACTTTTTAATATCTATAAAGTTAACATTTTGCTTCCTCTGCTGCTTTTTCTTGTAAGCATAGTATTTTTTACGATAATTCTGAGTTCTATTTCTATGAAATATAGTTTAAAAGTTTAAATTAAAGAAATACTAACCTTACTTTATTGATACATGCATTTTATAGCTATTAGCATAAAACAATGTGTTTTATTATTTACACAACCTTGTAAAATTGTTGTAGTAACTATTAGAATACTTAAATATTGCAAAAAGCGGAAAGATTCTATAAAATAAATGAAAAAATAACTAAAAATACAAATTATCCACACTAAACAAGGTTTGTTTGGAAAGTGAAACTGACAGATGTCAATAAAACTACGAATTATGAATGTTCTTGGGAAAAACACTTTTTTAAAAACTAACTTCACAAATAAAACTTTTATTTTTGACTTACAAAGATTTTAGTAGCAACAACAATAAATTAAATCAGACTAAATTATAAATCAAACTAAACTACAAATCAGACTGAAAATATTGATTTTTACATAGTGTTTTTATAATTTAATAATTGCTGATCTTGCAGTCCAATACGTCGCAATTCAGTCCAGAATGATCGAGCGGTAGTCCCGTGTGGAATCCACGTGGTAGAATTTACTGGATGGTAGCGGTCATTGTACTGTAACTACTCCATCCCCTGAAGAAGTTTTGTGAGGGACGAACAGAACTGTTGGGTTGGCCTCTTCTGGAGCTTCGTGGCTGGAGTTGGGTTTTTGTTATTTGTTTTATACCTGTAACATATTTAGAGGCAGATTATTGTAATAAAGATATATAAAGGAGTCATCCAAAAACGGTTATGGCTATGGTTCCATAATTTCGGGTTAATTGTCCTTGAATTTATGTGACTCTGGATTGGGGTTTTGAATTCGCATCTGGGCGGAAGTCTGTCGTATTTATTTTCTTGACATATATCGCAAAAGTTTATGATATCTTCTATGTCCTTCTTCATATTAGGCCAGTAATATCGTTTTCTTATTTGACTTTCTGTTTCAGCTATTCCTCTATGGTTCGTTGTTCCTTCATGATAGTTTTTTATAATTTCTTTTTGCTGTTCTTCTAGGTTAACATCTTCCAATAAAAGATTACATTTTACTAAGTCGTATGCGTTGTTTTTAAAAGTTTTCCTAATAATTTCGCAAATCTCTGCAAAAATTTCTTCTTCTGTTTCAAATAAAATTGCATATTTCTTTTTCGGGTTGAGGTGTTCCTTAAAAATTTTTATGGTATCAGCTTTTAACTGATCTTTCGATAGCTGGATATGATAACGTCTTTTATTCGGAAAGGTTTGTATAATTGCTGGAGGTCGTGGATTGTAGTTGACAATTTTGACTATAATTTGGTTACTATAGAAGTTAAGTGGTTTTTCCGAAATAGGTATACCAAGAATTGGGTTTTCTACTGCTGTATGTATTGTTTCATTTCCGTCTTCGTCCATGTTTTGATTTTCGTTTTCAACAGTGTGGTCTGAGATGTTTTGATCTTCGTTTTCAACAGTATCTTCTGGGATGTTTTCTGGAATTAATTCTGTTGCTTTTTCTTCTACAATCTCGTCGATTATTCGATCTGCATCTGGATTATTAGTCGTTGACCATCCATCGTCTTCCATGTCTACTAAATCATCAAAGACTTCCTTAATTTGTGAATCGATGTCCTTAGTTTCCTTTGTGTGTATTTCGATTCGAGACAGTGCGTCCGCATTTGTATTAGCTTTGCCTTTTTTGTAAATTACTTCGTAGTCAAATTCTTCTAATTTTAATCTCCAACGTACTAGTTTGGAGTTGGGTTCCTTTAGGGAAAATAGATATTGCAAAGGACGGTGATCTGAGAGTATTTTAAATTTTCTTCCAAATAGGTAGGGTCGGAAATATTTAGTTGCCCACACCATTGCTAACATTTCCTTTTCTATTGTGGAGTATTTGGTTTCGGTTTCATTTAGTGTTCTGGAAGCAAAGGCAATTGGTTTATCACTGCCAACTGGTCCTTGGGAAAGTACTGCACCAATAGCGAAGTTGCTGGCATCTGTTGTGAGGTTAAACGGTTTGGAAAAATCTGGATATTGCAATAACGGTTCATTCATTAATAATTTCCTGCACGTTTCAAAGCATTCTACGAATTCGGGTGTATGTTCGATTTTTGCATCCTTTTTCAAGCATCTTGTTAGAGGTTTTGTGATTTTTGCGAAGTCTCGAATAAACTTTCTGTAGTATCCTAGTAGTCCAAGAAATCCTCTTATTTCTTTTGCTGTTTTCGGTATTGGATATTTTTCTATTGCTTCAATTTTTGCTGGATTCGGTTTTATGCCTTCTTGTGTGACTACGTGTCCCAGAAAATTAACTTGCTTTTTTAAGAATTCGCATTTGTCGACTTGGATTTTTAGTCGGGCTTCTCTTAATCGTTGAAATACTTTTGAGAGATTTACTATGTGTTCCTGTAGTGATGTTGAATAAACTATTACGTCATCCATATAGACGAGGCATATTTCTCCTTGAAGTCCTTTCAATACGTTGTCCATCATACGTTGGAACGTGGACGGAGCGTTCTTAAGTCCAAATGGCATTCTTAAATATTCGTAGTGTCCATTTTCAACATTAAATGCTGTTTTGGGAATGTCTTCTTCAGCCATCTCGATTTGGTGAAATCCACTCGCTAAGTCGAGGGTCGTAAAATACTGACATCTTCCCAATTTGTCCAAAATATCGCTAATGTGAGGAATTCTGTATCGGTCATCAATTGTCTTCTCGTTGACCTTTCTATAATCTACCACTATCCTCCACTTTATTTTACCGGATGAATCTGGTTTCTTTGCCACGACCCAAATGGGCGAAGACCATGGCGATTGACTTGGTCGAATTATCCCTTGCTCTAACATTGAGGAGATTTGTTTCTTTACTTCTTCTTTGTGTACATACGGATACCGGTACGATTTCGTATATACAGGCTCTTCATCCTTGGTTCTAATGTGATGTTTAACTTCGTTAGTAAAGCTGAGAGGAGTGTCTGGTTGGTGAAATATATCGGAGAATTTTCGGCATAGGTGACGAACTTGTTCTTCTTCTTCTTCATTAAGATGTTCGGTTTTAATTAAGTCGTCGATATCTTGTCTATAGTCTGGTCCGGAGGTTGTTTCCATGGAATATATATGGAAATCTTGAATGTCTATTTTGTTGCTTTCGAGTGGTTCCATAAGAGAAAGATGAATGGGGTCTGACGTGAAGTTGGCAATTTCGGTCCAGGCGAGGTGGTTCTCGGCGTTAGTAAGGGCTTCTCGTACTACGACGCCTTGCACTTTTTGGGTTGGAATAATGATGGTTCCGTGTTCTTCTTTGACAGGAATTTTGACTTGGCTAATAGAATTTGGTTCCAAATGAATGGAATAAAATTGTGTTTTATTTGTTTCGTAATATTTAATTGGGATTGTAGAATCTTTTGTAACTAGAAGCGACTTGGGAAAGTTTAATTGGGCTTCGAAGAGTTTTAGATTGTCGAGGCCAATAAGACCATCAAAAGTTTTGTGAAACTTAAAGAGATAAAATTTCATTTTGCTGTCAGAATTGAATTCTGAAAATGAAGGAATTTCGGCACAATATTTTTGGGAATAATTTTGGAAAATTGATGTGACGACAAAGGGTTCATGTTTTATGTAACTTGGAAAATATGAAGAAGCTATTTCTGGATTGAGAAATGACTTTGTGGATCCTGTATCGATTAAAAGCCGTAAGGAAGGTTTAGAAATTTCGATGTAAGGTAGCTCCTTTTTGTCGGGAAATGAATGGAGTTCAATTACGTTCCGATTGCTTCTGGTGGGTCCTCTCGAAAATTTACGTTTTCTTCATATTCGGTTGGTTGGTTTTCGTATGTATCTTGTAGGAAATTGTCATATTCAGGTTCGTAGTAATCATTGTAGTTGGAATTATCTTCTTGCTCATCTCCATGGCATTGTATATTGTAAAGTTCTTCTACGGTGAATTTTGGCTGTGCTCGATAATTGGGTGTGAAATTTTGACGGCCTCTGGTTGTGGTTTCTGATATTCCACTCATAGGTGTTGGTCTAGGCTGATTTGACTGTCCATTTTTAGGTGCCCATACATTTGACTGGTTCTGGGTCCTGAACGTTAGAGGGTTCGAATTTTGTCTAAATTGGTTGAAGTTTTGTTGCCGGTGTGGTTGCTGGAACTGATTCTGCGGATAGAATTGTCTCGTTGGTTGCTGCCATTGCGGAGCTGCAAAATTTGGCTGTTGATACAATGGTTTCTGGATAGGTACAGGCATCTGTTGTCTCTGAGGTCGGCGTTCTTGATAATTTTCGCTTCTTCCTGATGTTGAAGGTTGACTTAATTGATTTTTTTGAAGGTAACGAACGTTATTTTCTTCCTGTACATATTGTATTGCCGTGGCTAAACTTCCTGGTCTCATTGCTCTGATAACAGAGCCCATTGGTTCTCGTAGGCCTGCTAAGAATGTTGTAAGAGCTTGTTGACGGAAAAATTCTTGTTTGCTCCTCTTAATATCGGCATTTATGGTATGTAATTCTAGGTAATTATTAATACAGCTTAAAAGTCCCATGATCTTTTCGTAAAAATGCATAATAGATTCTGTTGAGCCTTGTCTTAAATTTACTAGGTCCCTTGTAAGCGAATTTTCGTCTCTCTGGTCTCCAAAATTTTGAATTAATGCGTTTTTTATTTCGTCCCAACTTTCACATCCATATACTGATATAACTTCTTTTGCTCTACCTGTTAATTTACTCATAATACCATGAAGCAAAAATTTGTTTTGGATGTTCGCTGCATTAAGTCTATCATAATAATGGTTTAAAAGTATTGTAGAAACTTTGATAAATTCATGTAATTCATTTGGATTTCCGTCAAAATTTGGAAGAATGCATAAATTTTTAACATCAAATTGTGGAACTGCCATATTTTAAAATATTCAATATAATATATAGTCAATAGTCAAATCAGTATAGTAATTTTCAATAGAGAATATATATAAATAAATATATCTTAATCTACTTATTTTCTATCTATTAAATCTCTGTGTTTATTAATATAGAATTTATTAAGCTATTCAAATTTGTCTTTAAATTTTAAAGTTTCTGAATCTGGCTCTAAAGTCAATCTAAGGACTTAGAGGAGATATTTTTAAATTATTTTAATCTTTCTGTTAATATATTCAAATCTTTGTTTAATTTATCTTCTAATCTAACTCTGATTCAATCTAAGGACTCAGAGGAGTCTGATTTTATAAAAATTCTTTCAAAATTTAATCTTCTTAATTCTAATTAGTAATAAAAATCGCTTACAGGATAAAGACGATGCCGATGTGCATTTCTTTCCTCCTGAAGGCTTCTAACTTCTAATTCCCTCGGGTGAACTCTGCAGACGGTTTCCCTGGGGCTGGTTCTTGGAACAGTGGACAAACACTTAAGAGTGACGAGGATCTATAAAGACTCTTCCACTTCCGTACTGACTCTGCGCCAATTATGAATGTTCTTGGGAAAAACACTTTTTTAAAAACTGAACTTCACAAATAAAACTTTTATTTTTGACTTACAAAGATTTTAGTAGCAACAACAATAAATTAAATCAGACTAAATTATAAATCAAACTAAACTACAAATCAGACTGAAAATATTGATTTTTACATAGTGTTTTTATAATTTAATAATTGCTGATCTTGCAGTCCAATACGTCGCAATTCAGTCCAGAATGATCGAGCGGTAGTCCCGTGTGGAATCCACGTGGTAGAATTTACTGGATGGTAGCGGTCATTGTACTGTAACTTACGTCATCACTCCGGTGGTCCATTAGTGTAGTTGGTTAAGAAGCACAAGCACTTTAATATTATATGTTTTTATTATATGTATATGATTTTTTTTGTATTTAGCTAGCTGAAATGTGTAGCTAGTAGAATGGACCGCAGGAGTGTGACGTCACGACTGTCACATTGTCATTATTACTTTCCAAACAAAAGTTGAAATGTCAAATCTCAAGACTTTTTAATATCTATAAAGTTAACCTTTTGCTTCCTCTGCCGCTTTTTCTTGTAAGCATAGTATTTTTACGATAATTCTGAGTTCTATTTCTATGAAATATAGTTTAAAAGTTTAAATTAAAGAAATACTAACCTTACTTTATTGATACATGCATTTTATAGCTATTAGCATAAAACAATGTGTTTTATTATTTACACAACCTTATAAAATTGTTTGTAGTAACTATTAGAATACTTAAATATTGCAAAAAGCGGAAAGATTCTATAAAATAAATAAAAAAATAACTAAAAATACAAATTATTCACACTAAACAAGGTTTGTTTGGAAAGTGAAACTGACAGATGTCAATAAAACTACGTCATCACTCCTGTGGTCCATTAGTGTAGTTGGTTAAGAAGCATAAGCACTTTAATATTATATGTTTTTATTATATGTATGATTTTTTTTTGTATTTAGCTAGCTGAAATGTGTAGCTGATAGAATTAGTGTAGTAGGTTAACATTTACTAAAAACTTAACATAGCAGTTTCTTATTTTAAATAGAGTACAATATAATTATCATAAAAAAATTTCTTCACCTTAAATTTTAACCCAACAGAATTATTGACTTCCCACAAGGGTTAGTCGGGGGTAAAAAATTACAAGTGTTGTAACAAATTCGCAAAAACATTACAGAAACCTGTGGTATTTAAAAAAAAATGAAATATACTGGCACAAATATTAAGCTAGAATAATTACCTAGTATTTTATGACTGACCATATATTTATCTTCAAAAAACCTACACAAATTTAAACCTAATCAAAATATAATGATTATATTTAATATATTTATTTTGATTAGGTTTAAATTTGTGTAGGTTTTTAAAGATAAGTATATGGTCAGTCATACCATGCTAGGTAATTCATAAAAACTAATAAATTAGTATGGGTTCCTATAGTAAGAAATATAAGGAGAAAGAAGTAAGAAAAAGAAAAAGACGTCATGATGATTCCACTGAATATGATACACCAAAAGAAAAGTGACACAAACATAAAAAGCATCATCATAAGGAAAATAGGCGAGACAAGACTTCAAAGTATTACGAAAGTAGTAAATCGCATTAACATGATAGTTCAGATCAATCATTGTCAAAAAAGAATTATCAAAGTGATGATTCCGATGTTATCGAAATTATTGAGAATGTGCACCTCACCTCCTCGTGTGCAAGAACCTGCACCGAAGAAAACCTCCCATCCAGAACCGACAAGCCAGTCTTCAGTTAACCAACATGTTGAAAGTCTTTCTATCGACGAAACTAACAAACTTAGAGCAAAGTTGGGATTTAAACCGTTAGATGTGGGCACTTCCAGTAGTAATACATTGAAGTGGTCTTGGGTAGGATATGTTGCCTGGCAAGAGTATACAGTAAGAGAAAACACAAATTAAAATGTAAACACCAACGGAAGGCTTAGACTCAGGAGTGAAGAGTCAAGTGCTATTAAAGGAGGAAGAAAAAGAAGAAGTTTCTAATGTAAAAGGGTGAGAATTTATTTATTCCAACTTAAAAATAAACCAAAGTTGATAGGTTAAGGTATTTCTTAGATAGTTTTTTTCTCCCTTCGTCAGCAAGCTTTATTGTTAAATTCTATATACAGAGTGACCCAAAAGTCTGGAAACGGCTAATTATCTCGTAAAATGCTAATCATAATTGTACAAAATTTGAGGTACACCTATTTTGGGATACGGAGATTCCATATTTGATATTTACAATGTTGCCAGATTTGCCGTTTTTTTTTATATTATTAGTAACTTTGGTTTTTCAAATACATCATCCTATATATTCAGTCATTATTAGAATCTCCTATTCAATACGAGTTCAACCATATGTAACACTTATGATTTTAGGTAATCTGGAAGGTCATAAATACATAAAACCGAAGTCTGGCAACGCCTAAATTGTTTCAATAAATTTTTTAATACTAACTATTTTCAAATACATTAAAACGTAACAATTGATAGTTTAAAACATTTTTTAACATAGTAGTTACGTTATTAAGTGTTCAAAATGTGCTCAATTTGTGAGTTGACAGCACCCTAATCGATGGTAGAAGGCGTCTACCACATTTCTCCATGATTGTCTAGAAATTATTCGAGATTCATTGATAATTCGTTGCCTTAGCTCTGCAAGACTTGCTGGTTAAGTTTTGTAAACTGAATGTTTCAAGTATCCCTAATAAAAATAATCTTTAGAATTGAAATCGGGCGAACGTGGAGGCCATTCAATTCTACCTTGTCTACCAATTTATCGTCCAGGAAATATCTCATCTAAATATCGCCGAACATTTACACCAACTATCTGACGTTAAATTTCTTTCGACAAAAAATGACCCAATTGAATAAGTAACTACTATATCTGACCATACATTTAATTTTAAGTATGGTTTTCACGCATTCAGTCTTCAGTGTGAATTTATGTCACACCAGTACCTTAAATTGTGTCGATTTACACTTCCACACAGTGTAAAAGTTGCTTCATCGGAAAAACATATTCTGTTAACGAAATTTTAATAATTTTCAATTGAATCCATCATTACCTCAGTAAACTCTAATCTACGACCAAAGTCATCTTCACTTAACTCTTGCAATAAGTTAATTTTGTATGATTTAAATTTATTTTTACGTATTAAACGTAAGACTTAAGAATGACCTACATCATGTACTTGTGCAACCCTGCCTGAGGATGTATGTGGATCTTCAACAAAACTTTGCTTATATCTGAAGTTTTGTTGTCATTGATACCTCGTTTCGGTCAACCTGATCGGTATCTATCTTTTACTTCTCCAGATTCCTCAAATCGCCTTACAGTTTTTTGTACCGTTGTCTTATCAATAGCAGAACGGTTTAGAGAACGGCATTTTAGAGAAGCAATTTAAATTTCAGAACTTTTTGAACCACAACTACTGTCAATTTTAGTTCATAATTTAAATGGTGAACAAATGTCAAAATCTCAGGATTCTCCATTTAAATATTAAAATTTATTAAAATCTACATATTTTGCACTGTTTTATGTATTTAAGATCTTTCAGACTACATAAAATCAAGTGAACATATGGTTGAACTCGTATTGAATAGCTGAACTCATGTGAAATTCACACTGAATGCGTGAAAACCATACTCAAAGACCACAAAAATTAAATGTATGGTCAGTTATAGTAGGTACTTATTTAATTGGGCCATTTTTTATCGAAAGAAATTTAACGTCAGATAGTTGGTGTAAATGTTCGGCGTTATTTAGATGAGATATTTCCCGGGCGATAAATTGGTAGACAAGGTAGAATTGAATGGCCTCCCCGTTCACCCGATCTCAATCCTAAAGATTATTTTAATTAGAGATACTTGAAAAATTCAGTTTACAAAACTTAACCAGCAAGTCTTGCATAGCTAAGGCAATGAATTATCGATGAATCTCGAATAATTTCTAGACAATCATGGAGAAATGTGGTAGACGCATTCTACCATCTATTAGAGTGCTGTCAACTCACAAATGGAGCACATTTTGAACACTTAATAACGTAACTATTATGTTAAAAGATATTCTAAACTATCAATTGTTACGTTTTAATGTATTTGAAAATAGTTAGTATTAAAAAAAGGATTGAAACAATTTAGGCGTTGTCAGACTTCTGTTTTATGTATTTAAGACCTTCCAGACTACATAAAATCATAAGTGTTACATATGGTTGAACTCGTATTTAATAGGAGATTCCAATAATGACTGAATATACAGGGTGATGCATTTGAAAAACCAAAGTTACTAGTAATATAAGAGAAACTGAAAATCTGGCAACATTGCAAATACCAAATATGGAATCTCCGTATCCTTAAATAGGCGTATCTCAAATTTTGTATAATTATGTCTAGTAATTTACAAAATAATTCGCCATTTTCAGACTTTTGGGTCACTCTGTATACTACATGTAGTTGGTAAGTATTTTAAATAGAAAGAATTTTTAAGATTAGCACACATCTTCAATACAAGAGCCAAGAAATACAATATAATAATATCAGCAGAAAAAAAACAGATGTTGAAGAAGAAGTACGACAACAAAGATTAAAAGCCAGTAAAGCGGCGAAATCTCTTAATGACACAATGTGGAAGAACAAACACCTAAGACAAGACACAAAAACAGGAATCTATAAAGCAGCAATTAGACCTATATTAACATACACGGCGGAGACAAGACCTGACACATCTAAAACGAGACGACTACTAGAAACAACAGAAATGAAAATACTCCGACGAATATAAGGAAAAAGGCTGTTGGATAGGGAGAGAAGCGAAAACATAAGAAGAGCATGCAATATTGAAGACATAAATGGATGGGTCAACAAAACGAAAACAGGAGTGGAATGAACACACTAGTAGAATTGCAGGTGATAGGATAGTACGAATTGCAAAAGATAAGTCACCAAATGCACGAAGAAATATTAGCAGACAAAGAAAAATATGGTGCAATAATTTCAACAATTTAGGAGGCTAATATTGAAGAAAAAACGGGCTTTCAAGCCTCCATACAAGAAGGAAGAAGAAGAAGAAGAAGAAGAAGACGACGAAGACAAAGAAGAAGAAAGAAGAAGAAGAAGAAGAAGAAGAAGAAATAGAAGAAGAATAGTTTTTTCTTATTCCAATCTGACACTTTTTTCTATCCTACTTTTTTTATTTCTGCTGATATAAAATAATAGCTCACTCGTTTATATATATTTTTTAGGTCATGAATTTAATCCTACAATAAGAGCCGTAGGTAAACGAGGACCTTTAATGTACAGACCGAGTGTTCACAAACCAGTAAATTCCCTGGAACGTCTTTGGGCATACTTGACGGTAAAGGAAACTCTACAAAAGATGAAAGTTGCTAAAGATAAAACAGAACTTACCAAAAAAGCTTTGGAACTTGCTCTTAAATATTCCTTTGTAACTGACCTGACCTCACTGGTTGTAGTAAAGCCCAACTGTACACAATCCATGTGTCCAGATAGGTACCAATATCGTAAGTATCTGTTGTAATACTCGTAGATATTATAAAAGTCTAACAACTAATTTTCAAATACTAATTTAAAAACTATTTATGATGTTATTATTTTTTTTATTTCGAATTAACCTGTCTCGACATATTTGGTCGTTGACACGGAAGCGAAGGATTTACAATAGTACCTATAGAGTTATGATACAGAGTTTACAATAGTAAAGAATAACAATATTATGTGAATTATATTTTGTTAAACAACTATGTAGTCTTTAAGAAGTTTATTGGGCTCTTAAGTCTTAAACTGAAGCGAGGAGCCTGGTAGTGTTGACATTCTGTGAGGATGTGCTTGACGGTAATAGAAATATCGTTTCAGTGGGAGCATCATAACTGTTGGTCTAGAGCAGGGGTGGCCAACCTTTTTAAGTCGAGTGCCAATATGAGAACAAAAAAAATTTGGCGTGCCACTAAAATTTTTCGACATACTAATATGAATACTATATATTAATAATATACGGTACAATATGTATTTCTTATGTAAATTCCACATTTTTCCGTTTAGTCAAGATAGTGGAGGTTTAAAAAATAACGTAATAAGTAAAACATAACAACAAACTTACTTTATTGTTAATAAAAATAAAATAAAAACGTTAAACAAAAAAACTTAAATAGTTTCTTATTATCTAAAATTCAAATTATTAACCAGTTACTTATTTAATGTGGTATTTGAACTTGTATTTTTTTAATTAATTCATCTATATTGGGATTAATTTCGGAACTAGCCAACAGAATTAGATTTTTTAAATGCATGTCAGTTAATCGTGACCGATATTTTGATTTTATTATGTTCATAATAGAGAACATTTGCTCACAAACGTGCGTTGAACCAAATCTACAACAATATCTCAGAGCTAACTCGTGTAAATTAGGAAAATTGTTTGCTGGTACAAATTTCCAAAATTCAATATAATTGGGATCAGTAACAGTTGAAATAATTTCCCTATATTTGGTTTTTAGTATAGTGTGGTTCTGTAAATCAATAATTTCGATCTGTATTTCAGCTGAGTAACAATTGATATCTTGGAGATAAATAGAAAAAGGATTTATGAAAAGGTCAACATTCATTTTGTCTTTTTGAAAATCTTCAAACCGGGTATTGAATGAACTTAGCAAAATAGATATAAAGTTTTTAAATCTGTCATAATTTGGACTTCTACTGACCTTGTTGGCTAATTCCTGCATTAATGTGAAATGTGTCAATCTCTGTTCTCCAAAATCGTTACAAAAAAGCATAAGTTTATTCACAAAAGAAGATATATGACCAACTAGAGTAGGAAAAATACAATTTTTTCCCTGTAGTCTTATATTTAATAGATTTAAATGTCTCATAATATCAGTGATAAAAGCTTAATCCCAAAGCCAATCTTTATCATTAAGTAACGAGCACTCACTGGGTAGTTCATTGTTTTCTTGCAAATATTTTAAGACGCACTCCTTCAAGTTCCAAAACCTTTCGAGTGCATTTCCTTTGGAGCGCCAGCGCACACTGCAATGGAGAAGTAACTCTCCATCTTACTCCGTTTCTTCCGCGAAACAGTTCTCTAAATTGTCGTCGATTCAATGCCCGAGCTCGTATTTTGTTAATGCAGCGTGTTACAGGGTCAACAACAGATGACATGTTGGAGCCTTGGCACAAAGAGCTTCCTGGTGAATAATACAATGGTACTTAAAAACTTTTCTTCTCAAATAGTTTTCCAGTAATGTAACAAACCCCTTTAGTCTACCAACCATGCAAGGAGCTCCATCTGTACAAACACTATCTAATTTTGACCATTCAACTTTGTTGACTTCGAAAACGTTTTTAAGCTGTTGAAAAATGTCCTCTCCTGTTGTTGTGACTAGTTGGCGCAAATCCAGAAGCTCTTCGACATTTTCAAAATTATTATTGGTATAACGGACAAAAATGCTTAACTGCGCATTTTCTGTGTTGTCACAACTTTCATCCAAGCTAAAGAAAAGAATTTGCAGGATTGTAATCCACTTATAATTTGGGAAACAACATCCTGGCCCATATCATCTATACGGCGCATGACTGTATTTCCGGATAATGCAATATTATGGACCATATTTTTGATCTTTACATCTCTCACATTTTTAGCAAATATTGCCAGACTATTTTTAATTATCTCCTCTCCATCAGAGTAGGCTTTTTTCTTCCGGGCTAACAGCAGAGAAAGTTCATATGATGTTTTAACCATAGTTTCCATTTCATCACTTCTCTTCTGAAACAGTGACTGTTGGCTGGCTAGGGTTTTCTTTTTTTTTTTCAATAAAGTCGGCTCGCAAATGTGAACCAATAGGATATTTGTTGCTGAAGTCCTTATGCAGTTGTTTATAATGTCGTTCCAGGTTAATTTTTTTCGGAACTGCTACAGACAATCCACATATCAAAAAAACAGGCTTTGAAGTATTACGATTAGTAAATAAAAATTGTTCTTCCCAAGCAGGTTGAAAATCGCGAATTGCAATATCATCTTCGTATTTTCGTTTTGAAGTCGAAGGCTTACTAGTGGACATATCGAACAAATACTTTTAAAATTTTAAAGAAACAATGCGCGATGACAAAATGTGCACATACAACGGGGCAGTTTAAAATAAACTAAGCAAGTAAGGGTAACGCAGTAATATTTGCACATTACGACAGCTAGGATCACGTGCACCAATCGCAGCAATATCGCTCGCCAGAGGATGCAATGATGCCGCATCTATCGTAACTTCCGTAAACCTACCAAGTTTCTTCTTATTATTTTTTGTTTTTCAAGTTTTAATTTTTTTGAAAGTTTGATCAGTTTGAAAGCGTAGCGTGCCACTGATAGGACTCAATCGTGCCACAGAGTGGTACTTTGGTGATATTTGGTGATCCATAGTTCTTGCCACTTGCCTTAAATATTCCTTTTGAATTTTGATTTGATATCTTCTTGGAGGTGGATGTTGTAGACGGGTAAGTTGGATGTAGATGCTTCTTTTGCAGCCATCTCATTTCTTTGGATGCCGATACGAAAAGGCATTGAATACGATAGAGACTTTCAGCATGACTGGAGATGCTAACATTGTAAGGTTAAAAATGTCAAATTTATGTACTGAAAAGTGTTTAATACAAATGGAATATTGCAAGTATGAAGAAATTTTTGCTTTGGAGAATTTCTCGGTATTGCCGTTAAATGATTTATAGCATTTATCACTCTTCTATACTCCATAGACACCGCTTCGTTGTTACTTTTCATACATATATCATAATAACAATCGATATAAAAAAAGTATTTGCTATTTAATTTAGTGTTTTTTACCTTAATCATGTGGTAAAAGATACTTTAGTATGTTGTTTACAAAAAAACAGTACGAAAAAATGGCTGATATTGACACATGCATAAAAAAATTGTGATATATAGGCCTATGTAAAAACAAAGTTTAGTTATAAAGGAAGATGTCTATCTATGCATACGCAGGCGAAATCTAGTGGTAAAAATGTTTAAGTGAGACTTGGTCACTTTTATTACTGTAAAAATGCATGTAAACAATGGTAAAATTGAACATATCTATACTTCATCTAATTTAGATAACGACTTACGTCATTGTCGTCATTATATACGTCAGAGTTCGAAGTTGACATAGTTGCCAAAGTATAAAAAAATCCTGACTCCATTTTAAATCAAATAGATTACATAATTATTGCAAAAGTATTACCATCGCTTTACAACGACTATTTAAATTCTGACGTGACATTTTTGAAATAAAACACACTAATTTTGTTCTAAAAAGAACAGATTTTATTAAATAGTTAAAAATATAAAACAAGACATATTCACGTTAAAATTCAAAATAATGAAGTACAAAAAGTGTCAACACCGCAACTGTCTAATAAATGTTACCAATTTATGCCAAAATTTTAGCTTTGTTCGATTACAGTTACAGTGTGTTCCGAACAAATATGTTCTTGATAAAAACGCTTTATAATGCATTTATATAAATTAAATTAAATGAAACATATTATTGTGTATTTCTTTAAGTTAACATTAATAGAAATTTTTAAATATTATTTCTACGCGTATATAATAAAATATGTCTAGTGGCTGTAATGCCAGTGTACTCGGTAAAGTGATTCTAAAAAAGAACACACCTACACCCTAAATATTTTTTGTTGGTATCATGTAATGTCACAGGCTATGACGCCGATGACGTGCATCGTTATATAAATTAGATGACGTGTAGTTAAATACTTTTAGAATTCAATATAGTCTGATAATAACATATTAATAAAATGGTACAAATTTTCTTTGTTTTTTATATTACCCAACTCCAAAAAACTCCATTTGGCAAAAACATAGACTTTGTTACTTTACTATTGATAATTATTTTATGTGTATTAGTTTATATGCGTTGAGGTTTACGCAAAGATTTAATTGCTTCAGTTCCAAGATTGGGAACAACTTCTCAACCTGCAAGATCTGGAGGCAGACGTGGTGAGTAAAATTTTATTTCATTCTATAAACAAATTTTTCATAAAATATTTGATTTTTTGATCAAGAATGATAAAAAACATTGATAAATAATGGGAAGTAAACAAATCATAATATTGATATTGTAGTGTTTTACTAAAAATTATTAAGGAAGTAAGGAGAAGAAAATTGGATTTAAATTTTTACATATTTTACATAGTAAGGTCTCGTTTTGTGCGGTGGATACGTTTCATAGAAAGGCGCATATAAAAAGAATTTATAAAAAAGGCATTACTTGCCTTGAAAAAGTAGGGATACGTCCGGTAGCCTTCTAAAATTACATAAAACCAAGACAAAAACAAAAAAGTTTGATGCATGAAATTACTTCGAATATCTGAAAGAAATTCACACAAAAAAACTAAAAAAAACTTGTCCATATTTCTATTCGTATTTGTGACTATTTATATTTGCGGACTATTTATATGGCGGTACTATTTACAATAGATCGATACAAGTCTTAGCATATGCCGATGACATTGACATAATAGGGCGTAGCAAGCGAGATGTTGAGCAATATCTCCTAGAATTGGAAACAGCGGCGAAACAGGTCGGTCTAGTCATCAACGAAGACAAAACCAAGTACATGTTGGTTACAAAGGATCCGATAGCAAATGAGGAACGAGAAACAGTCTTTGGAAGTCATACCTTTGAACGTGTTGACAACTTCACATACCTTGGGTCGCTATTGACTGCTACCAATAAAACAAGCGAAGAAATCAAAAGACGAATAAATCTTACAAATAGAGCATACTATGGACTCCAAAAGCATTTCCACTCAAGAAACATTCAAAAAAGAACTAAAATTATTATATACAAAACATTGCTGAGGCCGGTCCTCACATATGGAGCAGAAACATGGACATTAACGCAGAAAGATGAAAGACTTTTGGGAATATTTGAGCGTAAAATACTCCGCAAAATATTTGGAGCTGTAAACGACCAAGGGCAGTGGCGCAGAAGATATAATTTTGAATTGTATCAGCTCTTTGATGAGCCAGATGTCATAACGTTCATTAAAACACAGCGACTTAGATGGGCTGGACACATAATACGAATGCCAGAAAATACCATTGCTAAAAAGCTAACCACAGGAACACCTGTAGGAACAAGAAGCAAAGGCCGACCGCGAATTAGGTGGTTAGATGGAGTAGAAACCGACTTACGAATATTAAAAATCAGAAAATGGCAACATGTTGCCAAAAACCGAACAGAATGGCGACGAATCTTAGAGCAGGCCAAGATCCACAGAGGATTGTCGAGCCAAATATGATGATGACTATTTATATTTATTCATGTTATTATGTTATGTTTTATATTATGTCTTATGTACCTATGTTTTGTAGACTTTGAAAAGGCATTTGATAAGGTTCAACATAAAAAGCTTGTAGATATATTAAAAAGCAAAAATATTGACAGTTGTGATATGAAAATTATATCTAATTTATGTTGGAATCAAACTGCTAAGGTAAGAGTTAACAGTCAGTACACTCAAAATATCAAAATACAGAGAGGAGTCCGCCAGGGTTGCGTGCTGTCCCCACTACTTTTCAATGTTTACAGTGAAGCGGGATTTCAAGAAGCGCTCTCAGACTCAATAGAGGGTATATCTATCAATGGAGAAGTTTTGAATAACTTAACGTTTTACAGAAGATACAGCAATAATGGCGGATAACAACAATGATTTACAGAACGTAATGCAACGCCTTAATGAACGCTGTCATGAGTACGGACTGAAGATAAATTTTAAAGTTAACTAAATGCATGACCATGACTAAATCTGCACATGCAAATATCCAATTGACTATTGAAGATCCTGCAATTGAGAGTGTTAATAACTATAAATACTTAAGAACATGGATGTCATCAGATGTAGACCAAACCAAAGAAATTAAGACACGTATTGAAATAGCACGTGCATCATTCATTAAACTTAAAAAGTTTCTTTGTTGTCGGGATATAAGGTTAGAACTACACCTGAGAATGCTTCGGTGTTACGTGTTCTCTACTCTTCTTTATGGCTTGGAAGCGTGGACACTAAAACAAGTCCATCCGAATAAGTTGGCCACATTTGAATTTTGGTGTTACAGAAGAATCCTACGAATATAATGGATTCAAAGAATGTCAAACATGGAAGTAACTAGAAGGATAGGAAATGAGGCGGAAATAATATTAACTAATTAAGGGCGAAAACTTGAATACTTGGGACATGTGGTGAGAGGGCAAAAATACGCATTATTACAACTTATTATGCAAGGCAAAATCCGAGGAAAGCGAAATGTGGGAAGACGAAGAATATCCTGGCTTAAGAACTTAAGGCAATGGTTTGAATTTAGTAGTGCAGAACTTTTTAGAGCGGCAGTCAACAGAGTCCGCATAGCCATGATGATTTCCAACCTTCGATAGAAGATGGAACTTAAAGAAGAATATATTTATTCATATCGTGTCGATAAACAGGAAAACAATGGAACCTGTTTATTTAACACGTATTGTTGTCAAAAGAAACTAATTATTTAGATCTTCGTCTGCAGGTGGATGTCTTCCACTAAGTTGTGTCGTTCTAAAACGTGTTTAAAATAGTTTTAATTCTTCAATACTCTTCCAGTTAAAATCATCATCAATTCTATCAATTTTCAAAAATTATTTTTAAACAATAAGAGGTTACCTTTTAATGCGAAACTCGCAATGATGTGATGAAAAAAATCCATATAAAAAGAGACCTTACTGTACATATATATACATATATATATATATATATTATATATATATATATATACATATATATGAAAGTAAAAGATTGCATTTCATTTCAATCGGAACTCCACCATAGCCCGACACGTGTATCGGGTTATTCAACCCATCTTCAGGAGCTCTTGTGGAAGTTTAACTGAAATGAAATGCAGTCTGGTATTTGATCATTATAACCAAAATAACAGCCAGGGTATGCTAGCGAAAAATAAATTTTGAAAATTAGGTGAAAGAAAAGCGTAATCGCTTAAAAAACAGTGGACAACCTTATACAAATTTTAAAATGTTCCTGTTCCAGAAAAATTGTCCCTTAATGTGGTAGGTACTTAAGTGAAAAAACGGTACATGTGTTAATAACCTGTAAACCCATTTTTTGCGTGTTCATTCAATCTTCTTCTTCTTAACATGCCATACACCAAAGTGCGTAGGCGACTATCTCATTACTAGAATTCTGTTCTTGGCGGCGTGACACAGCTCACCTGTATTGTGTATTCCTGTCCATTCTTTAATATTCCTTAACCAGGACAATTGTTTGCGGCCGGCTCCTCTCCTACCTTCGATCTTCCCTTGTAGGATTAACTGTGGTATTTCATATTTTGCTCCTCTCAATATGTGCCCAAGGTAACCAATCTTGCGTTTTTTAATTAATTCAAAGAGTTCTCTTTCCACGCCGGCTCTATTAAGAACGTCATCGTTTCGAACTCTATCCACCCAAGGTATGCGCATCATTCTTCTCAATGACCACATTTCAAATGCTTCAAGTTTGTTGATAGATGTTTTTTTCAAAGTCCACGTTTCCATGCCATAAAGCAAGATGGACCATATGTAGCACTTGACCATTCTGTAGCGTATTTCGAAGTTTAGGTGTTGATTACATAGGAGCGGTCTGAATTTCACAAAAGCTTGTCTTGCCATTTGTATTCGGGTTTTTATCTCGTGTTGTGGATCCGATTGGTCATTGATTGTGGTGCCAAGGTATTTAAAAGTTTTCACGCGATTTATACGATTGTCACCTATGCATAATATCGGGTTTTCTGGAGGGTTTCTGCTAATGACCATATATTTCGTTTTCAAAATGTTGATTTTGAGGCCATATTTTTTACCTATGCTATTCACCCTATCAAGTAATAACTGCTGATCTTACAAATTATCAGTTATAATCACTGTGTCGTCCGCATAGCGTAGGTTGCTAATTGGTATGCCGTTCACCTTAATGCCTAATTCCGTATCTTCTAATGGATGTCATTTAATTACCCTTGAAATGAGACGCACCTTATTTAATGAGTTTTATAAGAAAACATACAATGAACAAACAGTCACAATATTTGAAGTTATGTTTGGAAGTAGAGGAGCCAAAGAGAAGGAAGGTACATGAAGCCACATCAAAACTTCAGTGTACTGTAAAATATTTTTGTTGATTGATGGAAAAAGACAACAGGTTGCCAAAAAATGTTTTGTGGAACTTATTCTATAAAAAGCGCAGAGTTCAAATTTTGTTTGAAAAAATCAAGTCAAATCAAAAGTTGCTTGACATATTGGTAAAGAAAGAGCAGGAACAGAAAGAGTTCATGAAGGTTTCGGGATGGGAATAATAAATAATAAAAGAAATAGTGTTATTGATTGTGCAGTGGCATAGGACATCAAATTGCTTGGAGAAAAACTATCGAATGGTTAGTTTAACTGGAAGCAAATGAGCAGGGTACTTTGTGATCGAAAAATCGGGCAAGGGCTGAAAGGAAAGATAGACAAGAGTGTGGTGAGACCTGCGCTGGTATACGGTGAGGACATGTGGTCTATAAATAAGAGGAAAAGAAGAAAATGTGGCTAAAATGAAACTGTTATGATTGATGTTGGGTAAGACTAGAAGGGACAAGATCAGGAATGACTTAATAAGGAGCAGAGTCGGGGGACTACATCTTCAAAAAAAAAAGATTCAAGATTAAATACTGCAATGGTTTGGTCAGATCAGACGTAAAATGAAAACTATCTGGGACGAAGGATAGAGCTCTTAGAAGTTGAAAAAAGGAGACGTAGAGGAAAACCGAGCAGAAGATGAAAGCAATGTGTAGCAGAAGACTTTAGAGAGGAAGGTTTAGGTAAAGACAAAATAATTGACAGAAATGAGCGGCGATGAAGAGTAAGGAATAGCGACCCCCGAAAGGGGAAAAGCTTGATAAAGAATAGGAATATTATCTAACAAGTTTCATTTTGTCGTCTGCAACGTTTTTACAGATAAGTCTTCAATTGTATTTTTAGTGTGCTGTAAAACATTAAGAAATATATTTATTTATAATTGGTAAAACAATGTCGTAACAATTCTTCTAAGGGCTCCTCTCAAAACTGATTTTAGCAGCAAGAACGTTGTAGCGTAGAACTTTGTAGTTTCTATAATTATACCATGTTTAAATCATGATTTTCAAGAAATAAATATTTCGTGAAATATTAATAGATTATATATATATATATATATATATATATATATATATATATATATTATATATATATATATATATATATATTATATAATAGATGTATTAATTTATCTTAAGTAATTGATACTTTCTTTCAGGTCGCACTAGAAGTAGGACTAAATCTCGATTTCAAAATTCTCATCCGGCTACAGGTGAGGTTGAAAATATTTTCTTAAGAAATATTTCTTAAAGTGATATACAGTCCTTAAAATATCTTCTTTTTCTTGTGCCTATCCGTTATGTATGTTGGCTACTAGCATGGTAATTCTAACTTTATTGACCGCAGCTCGAAATAGTCCTGAAGTGGTCAAGGAAAACCATTTTCGTAAGTTCTGGAGACAAGATATTCTTCTTCTTCCTGGCCCCCTCTTTTTGTAGACCTTTCTCTGTAATATAAGTTGCAGCAAGTTATATCTATGATCGTTTCGCATTATATGTCCAAGATATTCTAGGTTGCACTGTTTCACTGTGGATATAATTTCACATATTTTATCCATCCGACGTAGAACCCCAATGTTTCTCATTCGGTCCACCCAGGAGATCCTTAGTATCTGTCTATATCACTACATCTCAAACGCCTCGAGTTTTTCCATGGATGCCTTAGTTAGTGTCCATGATTCAACCCCATAGAGCAGCACTGTAAACACGTAGCATCTCAATAAACGGATCTTCGTTTTTAAGGGTACAAACGCTGACCTGGCTTTTTCAATTCTCAATATAAGGTTGAATGTTCGAATAAATGAACTTTGATGGTACACAAGGCAAATATCGAACACAGTATTTAATTAAATCTTGCCCAAGTACTTTCGATCACAAGATCATCTTCAGGGGCATTTCGTCAATTGTGGCCTATCCAGCAGTAACCGAATGTCATAAATGTAAACTGGGACATAACAAATACACTAAACAAAGACAAACAAACACTTTAAAATTTAAATTGGAGAAGCTACATTTTTATATTATAGAAGCAGGAGACAGAATCAATTCTGTCTCCGGTAGCAGGTAGCAGATAAAAGTTGTAAGTAAAATAAGTATACTAGTTAAAGTTATTGAAGTGTTGAACAGTGACTGTCTATGGAAATGGAGATTTCAATATATTAACTATGGTCATTCTTCCAATTAAAACTCCTCTACGCTTCAAAAAAGAGTACATTTTTGGGTACTAAGTACATTTCATTAACTTTTTGTCTTTTTAAACAATAAAATCCGAAAAAATATATTGATAATACAAATATTATTAATATCTAATTGCATTGTGACTAAACGCAATCCGTTATATACATTTTGCACTACGTGTGGCCTAACTTTGACAACAATACTCGGGCAAATGTATTATATTTTTAAAAAATTTTGGAATGTGTTCGAATTCGAAGTTCAAATGATTTCAACTTCTTTATATAGTATCTTAGTATCTAGCTTTCCATTCCATACAAGTCGAGAACACGTAGCAACTGAAGGCTCTTATCCTTAGCTCCAGAGAAAGGTTTCGATTAACAAACATTGTTTTCATTTTTATAAATGCTTGCCTTGAAATTTATTGCATGTCTTTATTGCTCTACCTTGGTCATTGTTTTCATTTACCCAGGTTCCCAGATATTTGTAGGTATTCACTCTTTCTACTTGTTTTCCCTCGATATCTAGCCTTTCTACTGTATGTTGCTTAGAAATAATCATACACTTGGTTTTCTTAACATTCATTTGTAGTCCATATTTTATACTGACTTGATTTAATCGATTTGTTAAGCGTTGCAGTGCTTCTAGACTGTCTGCAAAAATAGCGGTGTCGTCCGCGTATCTTATGTTGTTAAAAATTTTTCCGTTTATTGATATACCATGTTGTTCCTCTGATATTGCTTCCTTAAAAATAGCTTCGCTAAAAGGGTATGCTTTTACTGCTTTAATTGAGTTTTTGTATCTATTTTTGAGAAAAATATAGTCTATTTGAATTCCAAGTTTATAATATTCTGTCGAGTAGTTGGAACATTGTGTTTATAATTGCAAAATGTTCATGTTGACAAAAATCCACGAGTCTATTCCCTCTTTCGTTTCTGTCACCTAGTCCAAGTCCCCAACGTATTCGTCAACTTTTCCTCTCCCGGCTTTAGCATTGAAGTCCCCCATTACTATTGTAATGTCTTCTTTTTTAATAGATCTTAAAATTGTGTCTAACTCCATGTAAAATGTGCTATCTCCTCTTTATCCTTATCCGCTGTTGGTGCGTATACTTGAATTAAGTTAATTTGTTGTATGTTTGTCTTCAGCTGAACCATTATCACTCTCTCTGAGTAAGGAGTGAAGGCTATAACTGATTTATTAGTTTCTGTGTCCAACAAGATTGCGACTTCATAGCTATGAGCCAGATCGTTGTTTCCAGCATAATACATCATTCCGTTTTTCGTTGTAAGTTTGCGGGTGTCTGGTGATTGTATATCACTTATGCCCAGTACATTTATTTCCATTCTGGTCATTCCTTGTATTAAATAATCTAATTTTCCTGGCTGGTACAAGCTTCTTACACTCCATGTTGCAAGTCTTATTGGTCTACATTTGTGTATACTTAGACGTGGAATTTATTATCTAAACGATAATTTTACTTGCTATCGATCTGGAAGGCCTTATCTTTTACATGATCTTTTCCTTCCCTGCCGGATCTTGGTTTCCGGATTCTATTATCAGTAACAGTTCGACTTTTTTGCGTATTTGCCATGATAAATTGCTAGAGATGTTCTGTTGAACCTTTAATTTAATGCAGTGGTTTCCCTTTGCCTTCTACATTCTTCTGCCGTTGACCAGTTTATTGGTTCCTTCACTTTGGAGTCGATTTCTCAGCTCCAAGACAAAATATTGTCCTACTACCTACCGACTCATCCGCCCGAAGCTGTTGGTCGGTAAACAGGGGATTGCTTATACCGGCAATTCCTCGGTCCGAATATGCGTTAGCTAGCAACATTGATGTTGCTCACCTTCGACCAGTCGGAGATGCAGATTCGGATTTTTCCTTCATCGAGATTAAGACCTTTCGGTATTTCCCAATCTCTCCAGTATACGCTTATCTGTATTTGCCAATATAGTTCATTTTTAATTTTTGAGTTACTGCACGTAGATATATTTTTAATAGGTTTTTGGTATGCAGAAACAGTTAAGCGGGTCACACCAGCAACGTCTACTGAAACACCTATAAACTCAAACCTAGACGGAAGTCTAAAATGGTTGTCGGCTGCTTTAAGTGAAAACAAAACATTATCCCTACCTTCAGGTAAGCTAATAAACTTTTTTTCTTTTAATAACTAACTCAGTTAATAATTAGCGGTTCTGAGTTTCAGTCAAGAGTGCTATAAAAAAGTATATCTGAATAAATTTTGCATACTTCTCCAGTCAAATGCGCCTTTTTTATCTTTCACATACTGAGACATAGAGGGCGCCGTTAATCTGAGATACTTGTAGTGTTAACTCTACAACGAATTCTCAAAGATGAAAATTGACTGATGAGATTAACAATTGAGACGATAGCTAGAGAAGGGCCTATCTGCTGAAAGTGTATTTTGATAAACAAGCATTCAAAAATTTAACATCCATGCCTAAAGCGAACCAACCCTTGCATTGTTTAAGCGTTTTAATTTTAAGAATTTTCGATCCATTGATAAAATAATAAAGAACGCCTTTATAAAATATGTCCTTTTTTCTGTTTAAATGAAGAGTAATAAAACACATTTAAAAGGTGTAAAATAATAACCAAGGTCTTTCTACAACAAGAAAGCTTTTATTTTGTTTACACTGCATTATCTTCTTCTTCAGCCTGTGTTCGTCCACTGCTGGACATAGGCCTCTTCCATTTGCTTCCATCGATTTATACTTTTGGCAATTCTCATCCACTGCTTGCCCGCGACTTGTTTGATATCGTCTGTCCACCTCTTCTGCGGTCTGCCTACTCCTCGCCTGTTCTCTCTTGGTCTCCAGTTTGTTAATCTTTGTGTCCATTTTTCGGGATTATCTCGGGCAACGTGTCCGACCCATTGCCACTTGAGCCTTGCAATACGTTCTGAGACATCAGTAGAAGATTATACCTCTCTGGATGTCTCATTAGAGGACCGAAATATTGCAACTTTCATTTCATTTCGAACATAGAGGTCTTAAATAGAATATGTCAATCAGATACTAGATACTACAGGTAATATTCAACGGAAACCTTCATCAATGACTGGTCTATCAATAGATGAATTGTTACATGTTGCATAAAATCGTGAAACCTACCGGTAAATTGTTATGGGGTTACTTTAAAAAAAATTCTTTATAATTCTAAGCAGAATCTAAAAATACAATATTGAATATAACAAATTCTGTTGGGTACATCCTGTGTATATTTAAGTATGGGAATTATAACATAATATACTTAAAACTTATACGTAAAGCCGATCTCTCGGCTATATATCAGAAACTATTCATGTTATACCTTTAGGAGAAAAAATTCCTTAGTAAAAGTGGCCAAGAGAAATCGCTGGAAATAACTTTCAAGATTCTGGTTTATCCGCTAGGGGGCGTAACCTGCGAAGAAAATTTTGAAAACCAGTTTTTTGGGAAATATGTCCAATTATACCAAGTGTTAAATAAGTAAACTAGAAAGAGGCATAAATTGTGCACACAGTTGTTTAAGTACTTTTTTTTATTTATTCAAATAAAGGGTGGGGGAGAGTGGGAAAGTATTTGTGGATAAATACCTATAACTTTGGTTTGGATCAACCGATTTTAATGAAATTATTGTCATTAGAAAGAGTGTGGATAAATTAATTCATATCTACTATAAAATACTTGCATTTAGTTTAAGTAGTCGTAGGTGGAGGGAACTTTCAAATAGAAACAATTAAAATTTGTTTTTCTTCAAAATTTTTAATAGAAACACCTATTTATTGTAAATTATAATGGAACTGGATTAAATTCGTAATAAAATGGAGCAAACCGCATGTTAATAGCTTTTGTTGAACTAGAGATATGAATAAAAACTCATAAACATAAGTAAGTATAGTATTGACACACCCTGTATTATAAATTACATAAGTAGTAAAAAATAAGTCAGTAAGTATTTTCAAATTTTTTTATAGCAGAAGAATCTAATGTTGATACCTACTTTGTCAAAAATAGTTTTTTCGAAACTAAGTAGGCTACGACAATGAATTTGACGGGGAGTTCATATTGTTTATTTATTGACAGCAGTCAAACCATTGTTAAGAAGTGCTATATCATAATTCGAATTAAAGATTGCACTTTTTTCAATAGATATTAATATTGGTAATATTAGTAATTAATTATCAGTACGCATAATTCGTGATGAGTATATCAAATTGTATGATATGATTGGAGTTTATTTCGAATGTCACTAAAATGCTGCTATTGCCTCACGTATATATTTTGTAAGATATCCTGACAGGGGACATTATGGCAAAGAAGTATTTGAAAGAAAGGCAAAAAGATTAAGAGAAACTGGTAGTTTTTCTCGTCCTTGTTTTAAACGACGTAGTAGAGTTATGACCGAAGATAATTCAATCAATGTTCTTGCTTTAATTCAACAGAATCCACATATAAGTAGTCGGAAATCTCTACTTCTTTGCCACAATGTCTCCTGACAGGATATCTTACAGAATATATACGTGAGGCAATAGCGCCATTTTGGTGATATTCGAAATAAACTCCAATCATATCATACAATTATTTGATATACTCATCACGAATTATTAGTACTGATAATTAATTACTAATATTACCAATATTAATTTCTATTGGAAAAAATGCAATTTTCAATTCGAATTATAATACATATAACACTTCTTAACAATATTTTGACTGCTGTCAATAAATAAACAATATGAACTCAATATGAACGAAAAAACAATTTTTAATCATATGAAATAACAATGGTCAAAATAGGTATCAACATTAATATTCTTCTGCTATAAAAAAATTTGAAAATACCTACTGACTTATTTTTTAATGTAATTTATAATACAGGGTGTGTCAATACTATACTTACTTATGTTTATGCGTTTTTATTCATATCTCGAGTTCGATAAAAGCTATTAACATGCGGTTTACGCCATTTTGTTACGAATTTAATCCAGTTCCATTATAATTTACAATAAATAGGTATTTCCATTAAAAATTTTGAAGAAAAACAAATTTTAATTTTTTCTATTAGAAAGTACCCTCTACCTACGACAATTAAAACTAAATGCAATTATTTTATAGTAGATGTAAATTGATTCATCCACACTCTTTCTAATGATACTAATTTTGTTAAAATCGGTTGATCCAAACCAAAGTTATAGGTCTTTATCCACAAATACTTTCCCACCCTCCCCCACCCTTTATTTAAAAAAAAATAAAAAAAAGTACTTGAACAACTTTGTGCAGAATTTATGCCTCTTTCTAGTTTACTTATTTAACACTTGGTATAATTGGTCATATTTCCCAAAAAACTGGTTTTCAAAATTTTCTTCGCAGGTTACGCCCCCTAGCGGTTAATCCAGAATCTTGAAAGTTATTTTCAGCGATTTCTCTTGGCCACTTTTACTAAGGAATTTTTTCTCCTAAAGTTATAACATGAATAGTTTCTGATATATAGCCGAGAGTTCGGCTTATTGGACCACCCGGTGTATTACTATAGATATTTGCCTAGTTTAATATCGTCCTGTAAATATATTGTTCCTTACAGGTCAATTCAAACTTGGTGAAGATTCATTAAAAATTACTCCTACTGAAACTTGTTCAAAAACACCCGAAGGCAAAGAAGGTGTTTGCTCCCTTATCAAAGATTGTCCTCAAGTATTCTCAAAGCTGACTAATTTCGAAGTATACAAGACCTTCTCGTGTGTCCTGCAAAAAGAGTAAGTTATTTTACTTAATTTAATTTTATTTAATTTATTACGGTAAATGCAATCGTTGCAAATCTAAATCGGCAACGGTGTACTAAGCAGATAAAAGTAAATTTATTTTTCTCCTAAAATCCCAAATATTGCGATTAGTAGCGAAAAATAATTTACGGTTTGTTTAGATAATGTGAATTTAAAAAGGCGTCGTAATCAACAGTAAGAAATTTCTGAAAAAAAACTCGCTTTCAGTAAAACTAGTGTTTAAAGTGATAGAGGAAGGTTATTTACAATTCGAAACAGTTATACTGGTGGAACCATAGATGAATAATATAGTATATACAGGTGGAACTCATGATACAATGTATCATATCATGGGTGGAACTTTGCACAAACCATACATACTCTATGTATGGTTTGTGGAACTCTGTTCGTTAGTTTTGCGATGTTGTCAAAGTTACAAATAATTCTGCTAACTGAGGACTGACGGAACTGGATTTTTGAGCGGTTGAAGCGGATCTAGTTCCTTAGAAACAGATATGATGCACACGGACAGTGATGATTACGCGTCAGAAGGCAAGAAGAGAAAAGTTAGAGGGTCAACTTCGCCTTTCCTTCAGAGCAAAAAAACTGCCAGAACCTCAAGAAAAAGATAACCAAGGGAGGAAGATTCAGTTCATGAAGACGACGTTATGTGTATGTTCAAGAACATGGTGGGGGAATTAAAAGAAATCAAGAATGAAAATAAGGAATTTGGACAAGAGATGATAGCGCTGAAAAAAGAAAATATAAAGATAAAGCAAGAATTGGACGAAACAAAAAACAAATTAACCCAAGTTGAAAACAAAGTAGAAAGAGTTGAAAAGCAGGTAAAAAGAAATAATATAGTAATTACAGGTCTACCAATAGTCGCAACAGATGAAACACTTTTAAAAAATAACGTTAAGATTTTATACAAAAGCACCTAAAAGAGGATGTCGAAATAGAATCTGCAATGAAACTAAAAAACAATATATGTCTGGTACAAATTAAGGATTGTGGCGAAAAAATTAACGTAATGAAAGAAAAAAGCAAACTCAGATTTCTTACTAGAGAAAAGATCTTCATCAACCATGACCTGACCGAAAAGGAAAGACACATGAGGCAGGAAATTGTAAATAAAGGCAAAGAATTAAGAGCTGAATGTAAAAACGTGAATATAGGGTACAAAAGACTAACTATGGTAAGCATGAAATGCGAATGGGCTGAAAATGGTACTTTCAGACGAGAAAATTTTAGAAATATGGACCCAAAAAACAAAAACTGCAAAATTTTCAACAACTTGGTATAAAACAAAGCTAAGAGAAAATTATTTTAAAACAATAACAGGTTATACCTTTCAATGCGAAACTTGCACTGATCATGTAACAAGGGAATCCCCGAATTGCAAAGGCTAACTTTACTGGCATCTGGATGTGAATAGTTAATATTTAATTATAATAGTTAATAACAGAAATTTTAGAGAGACCTTACTGTACTTATTTTCGACCTTTACAACATTTTCAGACACTCTTCCAGGTATTTACCATAATTAATTTGACAAATTCCTCTTCCACTAACACTTTTATAGCTCATACGTAAAACATTTTGGTCTGAAGTCAACTTTAAGTCTCATAAAAATACAAATGTCCTCAAGTCTGCCACAGCTGTTTTTCGTTTAGCAGGTGTTGTAGCAGGAATTCTTGTGAATTATTTTAATTCGCAAGAAAAATTTAAAGTAATAGTAAGTTTAACTTATAATGACGTTCACATATTTTTCAGATACGCTGGAGTCTGCTGCCCAAAGAAAGATGAAGTTGCTGCTTAAGATTGTTGTTGCTTGTTAATTTTTAATCAAATTTAGATCAAGTTTAAATGTAATGCAATGTTTATTAAATAATTTAGAGCAATATTTTGAGTTATTTTTATTTAGACTTCACTGTAACACACGTTAGAAACAAAATTGACTATATTTTAATAAACCACAGATACCGAAATGCAACACAATCGGTGAAAGCGTACCCGTGCAGACGTGGCGTCGGACCACAGTCCGCAATGCTCTTGTAGCAAAATTCCAACTTCACTTGAAAAAGATACTACATCTTTATTAAATGTTAATGTTAAATTTATAGATATTACATCTCTAGGAGTAATTTTATATCCATAAAGATGGTAAATTACAATTTTTAAAAAGTTAAGAAAACTTGTTTGAAGATAGTTTTCTTGGATTCATCTTAGAATAGTTAGTATATAAAATTACGGTTAGCATAGTTTACTGCTAGTAGATGTTCTTATTAGTTATTTTCAAAACTTATTTAAATAAATTTCTATTATATTTAAATTTCGGAACCATTGCATAATAGATTACCACTTACACTAAACATTATAGTGTATTCTATTACTCGTAGAGGGCACAAGATCGGTAATGTATATTATGTTGCCTAACTTCAGTAGGTTTCTTTTATTTCCTTTACCAATTTGTGTCTGATTGCGGCTGTCAGTAATTTTATGCAACCATTGTTGACTTTATTGAAATCATATATTTGGGATAGTCGAACAGTAGTTTGGTGAAACTAAACTTGAGAGATCGGGAGATCGCTACAAAAACCGCGTGACTGTCATGAGTCACGTGTTTAAGGTGAAGTTGTCAAAATTGTGTATACAGTGTGTATCATCAAAATAAGTTGTTACATAGGGAGTGGCTTTTTTCTACTTTCTTAACTTAAATAAAGGTCTTCTGAAAGTACCGTTCTTCATTACTCTGCCTCCTTTGTAAATCAGTAATTTTTACTGATCATATCGACCTAGTGAATAACATTGACTTTTGTAAACAGTGTAGCTATTTTTATTGCCTGCTTTAATTGACTTGCGGTTTATATTTATTGTGTTTACCGTACTAAGTCGGTCGTTTTATATGAAGTTTGCGAACAGTTGACGAAAAACAACCTGGTCAGTGCGTGAGTCTTTTTCGTTATAAAAAAATCGAAAAGGGCGTTCAACTGTACGGAGACGGGATCGATTATTCGTGCTATCAAAATACTCAATGTTTCTGTGGAAAGTGATCTTTTTAAGTCATCAGTATTAGGACTTCAACGGGGTGTAAGTAACAATTATTCAATCATAAATACCAAATATAACTAAAAATATTATTGCGATAGTTTCCCTCCGAAATATGTGTAGCAACAAATTACCTAAGTCATTGTTCAGATTTCAGAAAATTCTAGCCAAATTAAATAATTACCCTGTCTGACATATAATTGACTGAAAAAGTAACAAGAATTGATTTAATGTCGAAATTTTATTATTACCAAAATACTAAATATATAAATTTCTAGTTTGCCTTTCTACAAAACTGTATTAATCCCAATGAACAAATCATTAAATATCTTATAAATGATGGGGTGAAAATAAGGACAAGTACTTAGCATTGTTATACTTAATTGTTCAAAATTTTAATTTGAAAATACAAGAAACTATGACTTTAATATTGTAATTTTCATGCTATTGCATTCTTCTTAATACCATTGATTATTTTTGATTTTGTGCATAAATATGTATAAATGTTTTGATAGAATCACATTTAAGTGGGTACTGAATGAATTAAACTTGACATACCATAAGAAACCTCTGAGGTATTATTTTCTTAAGAGAAAGAACATGTTCAAAATTGTTAAATTCAATATCAAGTCATGTGGGGCATACTTGCTGAGTGTGTCAATTTAGTCTTCAAATTTTTATTGATGCATGATGAAACAAATCTGCTATTTTATAAAATTAATTAAAATTTTAACCACATAAATCTTAAAATTTCATACAATTGGTAAACTCTCCTTTATTGAAACCTCTTTTATTTTGGCCTCCTAATCAGATTTCAATAAATATTTTTTACCAGTCTACTCCTCACTTTGTTTATTTTCTTAGTACTTACCTATTATTGTCAATTGTATAGCAAATGTATACACTATACTGAAGAAATGCTCATTTATATAAAGAGCCCTTCATTTTAATGGTCACCTTGCATATAAATATATCCCAGTGCTATTGCATATTATTGCATTGTTTTTCATCATGTGTTTTATTGCACATTATGTATAACACCATCTCAAACTTTCTAGGATGAATTTTCATTTCAAACCGGATTTTGTATAAATAATTTTAACTGCTATAGAATCTCATTCATCTAAGTATAGGTTAATAGGTATATTCATAATATTTGTTAATTATTATTGCTGGTGAAATAAGCAGTGTGGCCACAATTATGCTTTAAGCTACTAATACTCTTTTTTTTTGTTTGGCTTTACTTCATGTGCATATTTTATTCAGCACTAGTTAAGTGTGCCCTATACCTTCTGAGCTTAGTTAATGTGCCAATATATGTGGTAATTATTACATGGAAACAACTAAAATTGATAAAGTACTAAAGGACACATTGAATGATACATTGATTATCCTATTTTGGATAAATTTTTTAAATACATAAGTAGTTTTATTAAATTTGAAACAAAAGAAAAGGAGATTGAATGGATGGAGATAAATCTCCCAAAAGATATTGATTAAATTGTTGGGAATATCAAAATTTTAATATATGCCATATAATATTCAACATGAAAAATCAAGAAATACATAGGAATATGTGAGTATCCTTTTTTATTTCCATTTAGGATTTGTAAAACAAGCCAATTTTACAACAAAACGAAATTGAGTAAAATGAGCAGAGGTGTTGCAAGCCAGTATTCGTAACTTTCTTAAACAGATGTAATTTGTATTAATATTTACAACAATTTCCTTATATTCCAATGGATTTATTTATTAAAATGAAGCAGGAGCTTCTTAGCTTACCTGTAGGGTTGCTGCATTGAAGCACTGAAGCATTAGGGTGAACTTTAAATACTTTGGAGCACTACCTCACTATATAACGAAAATCACAATGTATAACTTCATTAGTGAGGTAATCAGGTGGCTTAACAATCTACCTAATGACTTTAGATTAAAATCTGTGCAGGATTGCAATTGAATTTGTGTGCACAACTACACAATTGAATGTTATATGCCCCGACAAGTTTCAGATTACTTTATACTCATCTCAGTTTTATTTTCAAGCTATAATTTAGATCTTCCAAGAAGTCGGTATAGTTGTTTCAATATGATTCCAAGATTATGTTAGTTTTAATTTAGTTGATGTTTAAATTAATAGTTGAGTCTGATTTGGTATTTCCTTAATCACCTTTGAATCAAGTTGAAGTGGTCCTGCAATTCTCTAGATACTTTCTAGATATTTTTACGAGATGAGAGGATAATATATCATAAATAGATGAGCAATATATATTAGGTGTGCAAAATTGGACCAAGCATGAGCACCTTGAGATAGAATGGAGTTTACAGGTTTCGTTGATGTCAGTATATTTTAAATATTCTATAGTATTCAGAAAAGTATTATGTGACATTCAAAAGAACTGCAAAAACGCACATAAATGAAGTTATTTAGCCATTTCGTATTGTAATGAAAAATAGCCTAATCTTATTACGTCAATGTAAAATTGCGTTAACAAGAAGCAGGCATTTTGTTGTAGTTCATCAGCGTCACTAGTAGACAATCATTTAATGCCTACTATTTCTAAACTTATTTTCTTTGGTCTCCTCCATATTATAATCGATTCTTTGGACATGTCTGGCCTAATTCCACTTTTCTGTACTTATTCTTTGCGGAGCGTCTGGTACTCCAGTTCTTTTTGAAATTTCTGTATTTAGAATTATTCCAACATTGTTTGTTCCATTGAATACTGTGTGGGCTGATTCTTATTGACTATTATTCTTATTAGGGTTAGGGTTTCTTCCTGATACATGAGGATCAGCAGAACAAATTGATTAAAAACTCTTCATTTAAAATATAAGGGAAACTCTCATTTCACTGTGTCTTCAGGTAACTGAAGGCAGTTCTTGTCAGTCCTAATTTCTGGTAGAGTTCACATGTTTTGTTATCACTACTAATACATATTTCATGTCCCTGATATATGAACCAGTCTCATTTATTTGACTTTGATTAATTTTGCTACTTTTGCTGAATACCAAGTTTGTCATTAGCTGTGTTTTGAGAAAGTTATCTTTCCAGCATTTTTTGGCATTATCAATATGGTCTACGATTAGAACTGTTTCATCTGCGAATCTCAGTTTTGTTACCATTTTGCCACTGATATTTGTTTCCAAGTCATGTCCATTTATATATTTTCATGTATATTTGAATATATTGTCTATATTGTCTTGTTGTACACCTCTTTCAATTCGAAATTTCTTAGTATCTTCATGGAAACTAATACTTGTTTCGTTTTCATAGATGTGTTTGATTATTGTAGTATGTCAGTGTCTATTATTTTGCAGTCTACTAAAGCTTCTGTGGTTTATTGTACTTTACATTATTCTTTACATTTATTATACAAACCCTTCTTTACATTATTCTTTATTCGGTCCTATATCTAGCAACTCATCTCCATCCTTTAACTTTGATAGATTTGAGGTCATCTGTCCAGTTGTCCAAGGACCTAAGTTTTGATCTATCTCTAACATGCCGTCTCACTGGTCCTCTTCAGTCAAATAATTTTTTCACTGTTGCATTTTCTTTCCTTCTGATTACATGTCAGCTTCCCTGAATCTTCTATATAACTTAAGCAGCTTTTGTTCATTCTGTGGGAGTGAATAGCAGTTCTGAAGAGTTCTATTGTTTTTCAACTTCAAATTTTTGAACCAGAATCTGCGACTCCACGGTTCCATTTTTCCTTCGACTTTCCTTTGTATAACCAATCGTATCAACTCATATTTTTGATTTTTTTTCCT